CATCTTTCCTCACATTCTCACCAGAAATCCCTTTTCTTTTTATTTCTTATTAGCTATTTCTTAGCGGAGTGACATGGGTGTCAAAGCAGTCTAAATTCCTATGAAATTGTCTTAAAGTAGGGAAATCTGAGGATAAAAAACGACTCATTCTAATGAGCATGATTCTTGAGCTCTCTACGGTTGGTAGAAGCTGAGAAATTTGATAGAAACCGGAGGGCAGGGAAAAGCACCTAGAGAAAAGGAAATATACTTTTCAATTTTATGTTCTCAGTTGTGAATGAGACAGAGATACTTTTTTATTAAGGTCAAGATTAAGTGTCCAGTAAGGAATTTATTGAGAAAAACAGACAGGTACATGTAATTTCAATTTCTACCCCCTGGAAATTCATTCCCTGGTCTTCTGACCCTGAATGCGTTCTTTGGTGGGTACTATTGTTCTTATTGTTGCTGTTAGGGATAAAAATACTGAGGTCCATCATTTACAACATTAAACCTTTTGATATAAAATAGAGGTATAGCCAGTGAAGAGTCAAAGGTCACCCAATTCAGCCCTGCAGTGAGAGTTCAAGCCAGTATCTTGGGGAACTGCCCCCTACCCAGTAAACCAACTTGTATTTCAGAACTCTCTAGATTAAAGTCCAGGAGAATTGTTATCAGCTGTAGAATTGGTACAGTTGTCATGTGGCACTATACCATGGGGTGGCATTCATTGTAACTGCTACCTCTCCCACCACTGAGGCCCGTTTGTGATATCTTATCACCACTGAGGCCCATTTGTAGATTTCTTAGTGAGCAGCATGCTGGACCCTTCCTCCATGATCTTTGGCAGAGCCATACCTCCATGCCTCCCTTCAATTCCTCCCACGCCCAGTACACCTCCCCAAGCCCTGGCCTTCTGACCTCTACCCAGCTATTCACTTTTCTAGGCAGATGTCCTTGGGTGAAGGATGATGGCAGGCTCTTCTACAGAGTCTGTATTTGTCCTTCCAGAGGTCAAGCTCTGATCAAAAGGCCAAATGTCTACTATACAGTCATTTCTTGCTCACTGCTCTTTACCCCACCAAACTCCAGAGGGTGCTGACCTGTTTCTGAGAAGTTCCCATCAGGCAGCTTCAGGTGGATGGACAGACTCCTCAGTCTGCTGCAGTTCTCTATGAGAGGGTCTTTTCCCTCCTCAATCTGGAGATGGATGTGATCTGAGGCTGACATAACTATCTACACAGTTTTTTTGCTGTAATCTGCAGATTTGACCCAACATCTCACTCTCTATGAGTACAGAGATACTGGAATTCTGAATTATGGATTCATAGGTCTGCCTTTAAAACTCTTTCAAGACTTAGAGAACCCACATCAATATTGTACTTCAGTCTGGGTTATAACTAAGTGGGAGAATTCTTGCCTACCATATACAAGGTTATGGATTTAATCTCTATAGATTATAGAGCAATAAATAAAGACTTCATAGTTAATGTGGGTTTGAGACATTTTATTTCCTTCTAATTGTTCCATTAAAACTTAACACGCATCACATGTCATTTCCTTTTAACTCAATCTCGATCCACCAGGACAGGTACAGTCTTATCCTCCAGTATTGGAGGGTGTTTATTGGATCCCTTCCCACAGACTCTGTCAGGTTGTTTCAAGACAGTGAGAGCAATACCAACAGCTGGAGGGTAGCCTTGGGCCAGTGTCTGTTCAGTCCCACCTGCTGGGATGCAGGGGCTCTCACCCAGCAAGACTTCAGAAACAGTACACAACCCTGTCTTCTGCCCAGTGAGGCACAACATACGATGTCTGAAGAGAAGTGTCCCTAGTAAGCAATAAGCACGCCTTTATTCCTGTGTTAATAATTCATTTTATAATTCTTGCACCCATTACAGGAGATAATGATTTATAGCCAAATTATCACCCTCATTTTAATAATGAGGCATAAACCAGAAAACACTGTTCTCTTTAAAAGCTAAATAGAAGCTGACCAGTCTTGATTTGTTATCTGTCCAGTATATTTCAAAACTAAAGTTAACTGGCAAGAGTGATTATGAATAATTAAGTCTAGCTAGCCAGCTGGAAATCTACAGAATAAGCCATATATGTGTTTCTGTGATCCATAGAGTATCAAGTGCCATCACGTTTGTTTCATGAGATCTCTGTCCATTACTCTTCTTATGGGAGGAATTCTTGGTGGGGAGAAAGGAGCAGGTAACTTCCCTTGCTATTTCTCCACTCAAACAAATTCTCTTCTAGCCTATAATTTTAGCATGTCAATAGCATAATCTATTAGATTCAACTGAACTGGGAAATTTTCAGCAAATAAATTTGTAGTTTAGTCATTATTTCCAGAAGGTTCACTAAATTAGTAGCACTACAGTCTAATGACTCAATTTCATTGTAACATCATTGCTCATATTCTTAATACACATAAATCATTCCCTATTGTATAACACTTCATGTAGGCACACTCTCAGGGACAATTGTGGTTCTAATTCTATATCATTGTTGTTTAGTGCTTTAAAATAGGGAAGTGGGAGGCTCTGAGTGATTTCTATAATTAATTTTAAAGCAGCATTTTATAAAAGGCTGTTTCAATAATGTGTTCTTATTGGAAAGGGAAAAAAACTTAATATTTCTCACTTGGAGGGATTTTTATTTTCCAGATTCATAATTAGGATATTTTTACAATTGCAATTATGCAGACAACACAGAGATTTTCTTACATGGCTCCCCTCCCAGAATGCTCCAATTAAAGGAAGTGATGCCTAGTGCAAAATGTCCTGCCGTGAAAGCTTTGCTTAATCATAGCCTTCCTCCACTTATATCAACCCCCTCCACATGTTCACCTAACACCAGCAATCCCTACCAGTCCTAATGCCAAAACAAAACTGGCATCTGGCTGTTTAGATCACCTTGGTACAGCCTACCCTCCTTTCCCTGCAACTATTTCAAGAGCTTGCTAATTGGTCCCCAGACCAATCTACATAGGAGTGCTAGAAGAATATTTGATTTCCTCATTTTAAACCCTGTCATCAGTTTCCTCCTTAGAAAAAAAGCCAAACTCCTTGCCAGGGCATTCAGACTGCTTTATGCAGCCCTATCCATCAGATTTATTCTCCCATTCCTCAGGTTGATAGTGTCCTCACTACCTAGGTACTTTCCTACCTTGGGCCTTTGCACATGTCTCTCTACCAAAATATTCTTTCTCCAAATCTTAAGCTCACTGACTTCTCCACAGAGTTCTTTCTTGATTCCATCTCTAGAAGACGCCCCCTTCTCTGAGTTATTCCACATATCCCTGCTTTATTCCATCAGATACCCCTTCATTGGTAATTAAGCTATTCATCTGCTCAAAAGCCTGCATTTGTTATACTAGGAACACCAGATATGTTTGTTGTTTATAACAGAATCCCCAGTTCAAAGTCAAGTATGAGTGGTAAAGGCTCAGCCATTGTTTTTTGATGGAAAGAGGGAAGTAGTGAGTATTGAATGCCAACACTGAGTTTATATTGATTTTTCCTGTATAAGATTATCATTGAGCCTCCAAGAACTATATATTTTACCATGTTTTAATTACTTAAAACTGTGGCCTATTTCCCTTATTTTATGTAATCAAGGTGATTTGTTAAAGCTACATTTCCTACTGGACGAAGATAATATGAAGTGCTGCTGTGAAATGGTGCTTTTACCCTCTACTCTTTGCAGAAACTTTAGCATTTACCATGACCTAACCTCTACTTATAGAAAGCTGAAATTCATCCAGAACACTGCATAAAAATATTGAAATACTTTCTGTGTGTTGATAGCTACTGTCTGTCTACCATTACTGTGAGCCCAAAGAGGTCTCTCTCCTTCTCTGCGGAATGAGAATTGGTTGAACCAAGGTGGTACCAACAGTCAGAGGCTCAGTTTTAGTTTATAATGGATACTGTCAGGAATTGCTATTAGATCAAGTGTGTGTGTGTGGAAGGGGATAGAATATATAGATCAAGGTTGTAATTTAGAAATTGGATAGACCATAGCATCAGGCTTAAATACCAACAGAAGGATGGTGCCACTTAGGAAGGCAATGACACCCAGGTAGCAACTGCTTGCCCTTTTACCTTCCTGCACTACCACCTAATATTGTCTGTAGATGGAAGTTCCTGTCCTGCCCAATCCTGCAGCTGTTTAGTCCCAAATAAGTACACAGAGACTTATATTAAATTATAAACTATTTGGCTGATGGCTCATGCTTCTTAGATCTCTGTTAATTATTAACCCATTTCTATTAATCTGTGTATCTCTGCATAGCCTTGGCTTACTGGATAATGCCCAGGTATTCTACCTTCACAGTAGCTACATGGCATCTCCCTGACTCCACCTCCTACCTTTCTCTATCCCCGTTTGGATTTCCCATCTGGATAAGTCCTGCTTATTCCTTGTCTGAAACAGCTTTCCTCATCAAGCAATAAGAGAAACATATTCACAGCATATAGACGGAATTTCCCCATCAATTTTCCTCATCTGGCGTCTGCTCGGGGAACTGCAGCCTCTACTGTATTGAAAACTCTAGTATTGCATATTTGCCTGAACATTCAGCATTTACTGTTTTATCTATATAATTTTCTTTAACCAGCATATGGGCGATTTACTTCAAGTAAAGATAAATATTTCCATGGTGAAGTTTCAATGTGTTTTTTTATAGAGAAGAATCTTGCTATGTTCTCAATATTGAAGTAATGTCTACTGTAATTACCTACTTTGGTAAGAATAAACACCAAATAACTCATCAATTAATAAAACTTTTAAGAACAAACATATCATTGATGTTCACTTGAGCATGGTGCCTGAACACTCACTCAGTTCTCTCTGTCATCATTTACATCATTATAATACTTACTCTTTTGAATCTGAATTCTATGAGTTCCCAAGAGTATGATTTTGAATGTGGATGCAACCTTTAATATTCATGTATTTGAAACAGGATGCTTTTTTGACCTCTCTTTTCTGCTGGCTTGAAATGACAGAGTACGCTTCCTGATGGGTGGTCGGCATGGAGAATTTAAGTTCCTGCCTCCCTCTGGCTATGCCCCTTGCTATGAAGCCTTACTTCCAAAGGAGAAGATGAGATTGGAGCCTGTCAAAGAATATAAACGTGATGCTGATGGTGTTAGGGATCTGTTGGGTACCACTCAGTTCCTCTCCCAGGCCTCTTTCATCCCTTGCCCCATAGACACCAGTCAGGTAAGTCCAAATTGCAATTGACAGGCAATCTCAGTCAGCATATAGAGGGTGTGCCCCACATACACCACTGTACTTTTTGAAGGATGCAGATAAATATCCAATATTCTTTGAGAAGTCATAGCCAAGTTGAATATATAAGAATATATAAGAAGCAAATAAGTTATTTTTTAAAGGTCAAATGTAATGTATGCACGTCCTTTAGGGTAGGGTGTTTACAGGAGTCTATGAGAACAGATGGAATTCCATCTGGACCTTTATGAAGCTTAAGTGGAAAGGGGCACTGGGCAGTAATATAACAGCATAAGAGGAGTTGATATAACAGCAATGGAATGAATAAGAGCTGAGAGTAGAAACAAAGCAGGGGCAGGTGTTAGTGTCAGGTCTCACAAGGATGGACAGTCATGAGAAAGAAGAACGTGGAGGCAACAAGTTTGAAAAAACAGAGAGGGTATCATGTGGACTTTATGGGAGTGTTTGGAAATGAGTACTTTTTACACATTCATGCGGTATGATAAAGAGCTTGCAGAAGCCTTCAGCAGGCCTTATACACCAGTGCCATTTCTTTTAATGTGTGTATGCACTTGTGCATAATTGTGAACATTCAGGAGTACTTGGGGGTGAAAAGCACACGTGGGTGCATGCGTGTGTGTGTGTGTGTGTATGTGTGTGTGTGTGTGTGTGTGTGTGTGTGTGTGTGTGTACATGGAGACTTAGGAAAGTCTTCCATCGCCTTTGAGTCAAGATCACTTATTGGCCTTAAGCTCACCCATTAGGCTAGATTTGCTGGCCAAGGAACCCATGAATCCTCATCAATGCTGGGATTACAAAAATATGGCACCCTGGTATTTTTAATGGATTTGTAGATCAAATTCCAGACCTTGTGTTGGCTTTATCAACAGACACATCTCTTCATCCCCACCAGAGCTATTTAAATCAGTATTCTAGATCCTATAGAGCAGTGGTTCTCCACCTTCCTAATGCTGTGACCATTTAATACAGTTCCTCATGTTGTCATGATCCCCAACCATAAAATTATTTTCATTGCTTCTTCACAACTCTAATTTTGCTACTGTTATGAATCGTAATGTAAACATCTGTTAAGAAGGATATCTGATATGCAACCACTGTGAAAGGATTGTTCAATGCCCCCTCCAAAAGGGTCGCAGCCAATAGGTTGAGAACAACTGTTATAGAAATTAATGAGAAAAGACATGACCTCTAAAGCACTGAGAGTTACCAGTATATGTGAAAAATTTGTCCCTTCATATATAAAATGTTTCTAGTACACATTTCCACAACAGTTATATGACCCTATTACCTTTAGGTCCTCTGGCTGATCTTATATTCACTATATATCCAAGGCTGACTTGAACTGTTTTCAGTCTCCTGCCTCAGTTTCCCAGGTTCTGGAATTGAAGCCATATGCCATCATACCCAACTTATTCATGCATGAGCCTGTTCCCCTCCTGTATTCAGTAATTTTAATTTCCTATAAAATGAAAAACTCTTCACTTCCCTGCCTATTTCAAAGCATAACTCAACCTCTGGGATGTAGAGAAGGACTTTGCTAGGAAACTGAGGAGCTTGTGAGTTTTAAGAGATCCCAGGAATCAGAGAGTCTCATTACTGTATATTCTAGCCGTAACAGGAGAAAAACTTACCTTTTACCCTCCTGAGTTCTACAACTGGGGATGTACAAATTAAACTTGGGCTAATAGGTTAGCAAGAGAAAAGGTGTATTTTAATTAGTTAATGAAGCTTTGACAAAGAATGGCAGCTCAGAGAGGAAGGTAGACTTCAGAGACTATACTCACTTACCAGGGAGGAGAGAAAAGGGGGAAGGGAAAAGATAAATAACTCTGGGGAACAGTGAGCGGGTCCTGAGAAGATGGGAAACATGCTTGCTTTTTGACAGTGTCTGTCTGGATATGGTGCCAACACGTCTCTGGTGGTAATGATCACACAATAAATGGTTGAATTCTTTGGGAGAGTTTTTCATTTAGATGGATAAGGGAACCAGACACTTTCTGTAGCCACTGTTTCCCAGATATCTTCATCTTAACTGTACCCTTATTCCACAGTAACATAGTCTGGTACTCCAGACTCCTTCATAGACAGGAGCTTTAGGAACAAAGACAGAACTACTTGTGCCAGTGCAGATGACAAGAGACCAGCAAGCAGGGGTGTCTCTGGACTCCTGCTAACCTGTCAGAGACACAAATTACTGAGACCAAACTTCCTGAAAGAGATTGGATAAAACAGAGTTCAGACAAGTGAAGGGAAAACCCAACAGCAGGAAGAGTTCTCTAAACGTGTGTGTAATGATGAGTGTTGGTAGTCAGTTTGGCAGCCACAGCCACCAGCCAGAAGACAAGCTTCCCAGAACACAGATGAGGGACTATCTGTTTTCAGTTAGCTGTGGAGGACTATCTTGAATAGGCTAGGGTGGAAAGAACCATCCTAAAGAGATAGCCCCATTCCCTGAGCTGCATAAAGGAGCATAAACATTCCCTCTCTTTCCTGGCTGTGGCTGCCACATGACCAGCCACCCCATCAAGATATTTCCTTCAGTGATGGATTACACCCTTGCCTGCTGTGATGGACTGTAACCATGACCAAAATGAATACACATTCCCCTTAAGTTGCTTTTTGTCAGTGTATTTTTGTCACAGCTACCATAAAAATAAGTAAGATAATGCAGAATTAAAGATTTGGAAATGAAAGAAGTGTATATGCAAGCCCTGGGAGCTTTGATGTCTAGACCCAAACCTGAATTTTTAAGGACTCTATAAGAAAGGCATTGCTTCTAGCCAATAAGAAAATTCTCTTTGAAGAGATGTACTTCATTACTGTGAACTCTTTGAAGAGATGTGATACATTATCATGAATACCTTGTAATATTTTAGAATCTCTCATTCTGAGAAATTATTGTCAAAGGAGAACTTAAATGTAAGATTCTCAGAGTCCCCCAGGGGCACATTAAGAAATACTTTGTAAGTTAAGAATTACTAACTAGATCATTTAATGCTTAGCCCAACTATATTATTTCATGGTTACTTCCCCAGACCCTCACTGAGTGCTAGGACATAGGACTCCATCACCCTGGGGCCTAACACTCTCAAGTGACAATTGTCAAACTCATACTGCTTTGTCCCAAGTTACTAGTTAAAACCACTGAGATTATGAGTCACACTAATTTGTGGAGGTTACTTTCCCCAGCATGTGTATTTTACCCTTTCTCTGGAGAATTTTAGTACCTATAGCCTGAAAATCCATTTTAGGGATCCAATTAATGAAGGAACACTTAGTTGATACAGATGGCCTTTAGTTAACCAACAAAAGCCATGTGCACTTATAACTTGTCTCCAATTGTGTTCCTCATCAAAACTATCATGCCACTTACCCAAATGTCTTTTTCAAGATTACATTATGATGGTTTTTGAAATGTTCTTATATTTTTGTTAACCCTTTGGGAATTTCGTTGAATGTATGTTTTTCCTATAAAACATTTTCTTCACAAACTCTCTCTATCCATCCCTAACAATTGAGATTCTTTTTGGTCATGGAGCTTTAGTAATAGAAGCTCTAGTAATCATTGTGCCAGAGCTGGGTTAGAAAGCCAAGCACACTGTTTGTCTTGAGGTGGACGGCTGGGCCCTATCCTGTTGATAGCTGCCAAACAAGTGAGGATCCAGGTCTAGCCGTCCTCCAAGAGCCAACGTAGTTAGAGCCTGCTTTTGACTTGGGTCTCTCATTCCTTGGGGACTATCAAGCCATAGACATGGAGATAATAATGACAACAAATTAAAGAAAATAGGAGAAAGGAAAATGGACCCTCATTGTGAGGAAAAAAGCACATGGATCCTTGGCAGATTCCATGGCAGGAGAGTGACCAAGGCGGGGAACAAATATGCCAGGCAGACAGAGCTTAAGTGAGAAAGGAAAGGGGGGAGGAAAGAAAAAAGAGGTGAAGAGACACAGAGACAGAGAGAAGACAGAAGAGAAGAAGGAGACAGGAAAAGTCCTGCCTGCCCCAGGAGAACAGCGGGAAAGAGAGCGGAAGAAGAGAAAAGAGAGAGTGGAAAGAGAGCGATAGTGGGCAGAGGTCTTTTGCACCTGAGCTGACCAGGGTGCTGTCTGAGTGCTGTAGGCATATTAGACGAATTGGATGGGACAGGTATTCTTGCACTCAGGAGTCACCACAGGCCGCAGTTAAGTGTAGCAGCTTACAGCCCTGTCTAGGGAAAGGTTTCCCCAGTGTATGGGCTCTGATCCAGCAGGAGAGGGTCTTCCAGCTGGGGATATTTGCCTAGCGTAGCAGTTTTGCTCGGGCGGGAGAAGGTTTTCCTGGCGGAAGTTGTTACAGTTCAGCTCTGCTACTGGGAGTAGACAGCCGAGTGTAACAACTCTGCTCTGCCAGGGGAAGGTTTCCCCGGCAAAAGTGGTATAGGCCTGCTCGCTCTGCTCTGCCCAGGGTCATCTCTGCTCTTCTGCAAAAGAAGGTCTTCACCCAAAGCTCATCGAAGGGGTTTATTGGGAGGGAAGAATCTAGGAGAGTGGCTGTCCTCTGCCACTGTGGTAGAGCATGAACAGCCACAAGCTGAACAAACACAGGGTTTATATGCACAGGGTTAGGGTCAGATTTGGCTCTGGTTTCAAGGACAAAGTGTGTTTCTTTCTCTGGTTCTTTTTTAGCCTTTTGGCTCTAGTTTTAGGGGCAGGGTGTATTTCTTTCACTGACTCTGATTCCAGGGACAAAGTGTGTTTTCTTGGCACTGGTTTCAGGGTCAGGGTACATTTCTTTGGTTCTGGATGCAGGGCCAAAGTGTGTTTCTTTGGCTCTGCTCAGGGTGTGTTTCTTTGGCTGGACCCTTTTCCCTACAAGTGCATTCTGCCAGGTGACAGGGGCAGGCCAGCATAATGCCTGAATTCTTACACTCAGCTTGTGGCCTCTGTGGGGAAATAGGAACAAAATACCAGGAAATACCAGGCAAAAAACTCCCTAGAGGTGACCAGCTTATTAAGAAAGTAGGGAATAGGTATATTAAACGATAAGTGATCGAATGGCATGGAGTGTGTCTGTGTATGTGTGTGTGTATACGCGTGCACGCATGTGCGTGTCCTTCTGTGCTACAGGGCACATGTAGAAATCAGAGAACAGCTTTCTTGAGTTGATTCTCTCCTTCCAGTCCGGGATGAGGAGGAAACCAAATTCAGGTTTGTGTGTTGGAGAGTTCTGAGAGGGTTCAGGTTGGACATGTGAGCACACAGAACTAAAGCAGTGGAATGATTTGAGAACTTTGGAAGAACCAGACTCAGGCCAAGCACTGAGCACTACACAGAGCGCCCCTCCTCATTTGCAGTGAATTTAGCTGGGCTGCCTGAGACGTTAATCCAGTTCATTCCTGTAGTTCTGGCTTTTTTCTCGTTCCTTGCTCTGCAGGTTGTTTTGCCACTTCACCTAGAGAAGATCCGAGACAGACTGGCTGAAAACATCCACGAGCTTTGGGGAATGAATAAAATAGAACTCGGCTGGACGTTTGGTAAGGTATGTGCTTCACAGGTCAGACCCAGGTGGATTGTGATCTTCTGAGGAAGGGCTCCTTGAACATGTTGAGAATGGGAATCGGTAAATCAAAACGCTCTTCTTCCTAGAGCCTGCCTGACGTTCAAAGCACTCAGTAGCAGCCCATTCTTCAGTCCAGCTAGCGCTGAAGAGACCAGCCCTTCACAGACACAACCGGGAACCCACCTCTGATCTTACCTCCTGTTTTTGTTGTTGTTGTTGTTAGAGGATTGTGGATGCACCCATTCCTCCCCACCTCTCACATTTCTCCTCTGTCCCTTCAGAGAAAGCAGTCTGCTCTGTGTGGGTGGTGGTAGCCGACTGATTCATCATTTTGAATCCGTTGTTTAACGTGGCTTTCAGATGTAGCACTAAGATTAATGGGGACCAGAGGGGGTGAGAGAGTCTCTCACACTAGAAAGCATTTTTCAGAGAGAATGTAAATCACCTTTGCTCTGTGATTTGTATAAGGTCACTTTCTGGAAGTAGAAGCATAGGTGAGTTTTACAGCTTCCTGTGACCTGGACACTCTCTAGTCACACATCCTCCTGTTAGTTACTGAAAAGGCCCCTGCACTCTAACATGTATATATGTCCGAGGCTGCCACAAAACAGTGTCCTTATGAATGATCACCTTTCTGCAGCATGTTCTTCAAGTTGCTCCTTCAGAGAACTCAACACAATTGTAATTTTAACTTGCATTCATTCATTTTTATATAAATTTTTATTTAAGTTAGTAAGTCATATTTTACATACCAATACCAATTACCTCTCTCTCCCATGCCCCCCAAAGACCCCCATTCCACCCTCTATCCACATCCCAGAGAGGGTGAGGTCTTCCATGAGGGATCATCAAAATCTGTCACATCATTTGGAGAAGGGCCTAGGCCGTCCTCCATGTATCCAGCCTAGGAGAGTATCCCTCCATAGGGAATGGGTTTCCAAAGTCCATTTGTGCACTAGGGATAAATGCTGGTTCCACTGCCAGAGTGACACCCACGTTCAGGGGGCCTGGTTCAGTTCAATGCTGGTTCCCCAACTGTCAGACTGGGGTCCGTGTATTCCCACTTTCTCAGGTCAGCTGTTTCTGTGGGTTTCCCCAACATGATCTAGACTCCTTTGCTTATCACTCCTCCCTCTCTACAACTGGATTCCAGGAGTTCAGCTCAGTATTGCATTTATTCTTGCAAATATTTTATCACTTCTTCCTACTTCATTAGACTGTTGACTTCATGGGTGTGGAGCTCTCTTAGGAAGCTCATGAAAGCCACATTAGTACATTCAAACATTTCTGAAATGATTGAATGAATGAAGGGGTGAGTTGATACTTGGATCCATACTGTCGAGTGCAATAGCCAATACAGTTGAAAAGTATCTGGTCACGATTGTGATGTTCTGTGTGTGGTGGATGTGAAACTCACACTGGAGTTTTTGTTTGTTTGAGATACTTCTAGCTGTCCAAGACTTCTTACATAGACCAGGCTGGCCTTGAACTCAGAGATCCACCTGCCTCTACCTACCAAGTGTGGGGATTAAAGGCATGTACCACCATGGCCAGCTTCACACTGGATTTTTAAGACTAGTTTTGCACTATTTTATTCTTACTCTCATAAAAATATATATTTAATGTATGTAGCTAAATAAAATACCTTGTTAAGGTTAATTTGATTTAAGTCTTTTGTTTTCTAACATGGCTATTAAATGATATTATACATGTGGTCCATATCCATAGCCCTTCATGATTCTACATATGGTCCACATCCATAGCTATGGTCAGAAGCATGCTGTCCTCCAGTAGCATTATTGTGACACGAATTTTTTTCCGTTTTTATTTATTTTAAATTTAAATTTAGATTAGAAACAAGGTTGCTTCACAAGTCAGTTCCAGGTCCCTCTCTGTTTCCTTCCCCTCCTCCCGTACCCTTTCCCAACCCCCCTCCAATATCCCCTCATTTCCACAGGGAGGGTGACGCCCTCCATAGGGGTGTCCATACTCTGTCATTTCATCCAGGGCAGGGCCTACACCCTCCCCCAAGAGTTCAGGGTGAGAGTGCATCTCACATTGTTGGATGGGAGTCCAAAGTCCATGTGTATACTCGGGATGAATACTGATCTACTGCCCAAGGCTCAATAGATTACCTAGGACTCCTCACTGACACCCACATTCAAGGGGTCTTGATCAGTCCCATGCTGGATTCCCAGGCATCAGCCTGGGAATCAACAGTTAACCCTTGTCAGGTCAGCTGTTTCTGGGGTTAAACCAGCCCAGTCTTAATCCCTTTGGTCATCAGTCCTCCTTCTCTGTTACTGGCTTTCTTGAGTTCAGCTCAGTGCTTAGCCGTGGGAATATGCCTCTTCTTCCATCAGCCACTGAATGAAGGTTCTGTTTCCCAGACTCTCTGGCCATGAGATTGTAGGCTGGCATTCCCCAGATCTATGTCTAAAATCCATATATGAGAGAGTACATGCCATGTTTCTCTTTTTGTGACTGGGTTACCTCACTCAGGATGGTTTCTTCTAGTGTCATCCATTTGCCTGCAAATCTCAGGATTCCATTGTTTTTTAATCTGCTGAATAGTACTCCATTGTGTAAATGTACCACATTTTCTCTATCCACTCTTCGGTGGAAGGGCATCTAGGTTTCTTCCAAGTTCTGGCTATTACAAATAATGCTGCTAAGAACATAGTGGAACAGACATCCTTGTTGTATGAATGGGCATCTTTTGGATATATGCCTAAGAGTGGAGTTGCTGGGTCTTGTGGTAGGTTTATTCCCATTTTCCTGAGGTATCTCCATACTGATTTCCAAAGTGGCTGAACAAGTTGGCACTCCTACCAGCAATGGAGGAGTGTTCCCCTTTTACCACATCCTCTCCAGTATAAATTGTCATTGGTGTTTTTGATTTTAGCCATTCTGAACAGGAGTGAGATGGTATCTCAGAGTTGTTTTGATTTGCAATTCCTGGATGGCTAAGGATGTTGAGCACTTCCTCAAGTGCCTCTCAGCCATTTTAGACTCCTCTATTGAAAATTGTCTATTTAGTTCTGCAGCCCACTTTTTAATTTGATCCTTTGGTGTTTTAGAGACTTGCTTCTTGAGTTCTTTGTAAATTTTGGAGATCAACCCTCTGTCAGATGTGGGGTTAGTGAATATTTTTTCCCATTCTGTGGGCTGCCTTTTTGTCTTTCTGACTGTGTCCATTGCCTTACAGAAGCTTCTCAGTTTCAGTAGGTCCCATTTATTAATTGTTGATCTCACTGTCTGTGCTACTGGTGTTATGTTCAGGAAGCTGTCTCCTGTACCAATTCGTTCAAGGGTACCACCCACTTTCTCTTCTAAGAGATTCAGTGTGGCTGGATTTATGGTGAGGTCTTTGATCCATTTGAATTTTAGTTTTGTGCATGGCGATAAACATGGATCGATCCGCATTCTTCTACATGCCAGCCTCTAGTTATGCCAGCACCATTTGTTGAAGATGCTTTCTTTATTCCATTATATATTTTAGCTTCTTTTTCAAAGGTCAGATGTTCACACGTGTGTGGGTTAATATCAGGGTTTTCAATTCAATTCCATTGGTCTTCCTGTCTATTTTTGTGCCAATACCAAGCTGTTTTCAGGACTATAGCTCTATAATAGAGCTTGAAGTCAGGGATGGAGATGCCTCCGGACATTGCCTTGTTGAACAGGGTTGTTTTGGCTATCGTGGGTCTTTTGTTTTTCCATACAAAATTGATTATTGTTCTTTCAAGGTCTGTGAAGAATTGTGCTGGGATTTTAATGGGGATTGCATTGAATCTGTAGATTGCTTTTGGCAGGATTGCCATTTTTACCACATTGATCCTACCTATCCAAGAGCATGGGAGATCTTTCCATTTTCTGAGGGCTTCTTTAATTTCTTTCCTTAAAGATTCAAAGTTCTTTCGATACAGGTCTTTCACTTGTTTGGTTAGCGTTACCCCAAGGTATTTTATGTTGTTTGAGGCAATTGTAATGGGTGGTGTTTCTCTGATTTCTTTCTCAGCCCTTTTATCATCTGTATATAGTAGGGCTACTGATTTTCTTGAGTTGATCTTGTAGCCTGCCACTTTGCTGAAGGTGTTAATCAGCTGTAAGAGTTCCCTGGTAGAGTTCTTTGGGTCATTTATGTAAACTATCATATCATCTGCAAATAGTGAAAGTTTGACCTCTTCCTTCCCAATTTGTATCCCCTTGATCCCCTTTTGTGTTGACAGGAATTTTAAACAAAAACATAGCTACAAGTTCTAAAATTACTTCTAAAAATCACATTCTAAGGGCAGACACCTGTGTAGAAATAAAACCACAGAGTTCAAACCATTGACAATTTGGGCACCATGTAACCCTGTTCCTAAGAGAGGCATATGCGTTTACTTACAAGCAGATTGCTGTCTCTGTCCTGAGTGCTATGCATTGCCTGGACCTTCAAAGGGTGTTCATTTCTCTTTCTTCAGAGCAGGGCCAGCTGTCAAAACTTAAATTCTCTTCTTTCTTATGTTGTCATCTAGATACGGGATGACAACAAAAGACAACACCCCTGCCTTGTAGAGTTTTCAAAGCTCCCTGAAACTGAGAAGAATTACAACCTGCAAATGTCAACCGAAACCTTGAAGTGAGTGTTTAATTTACTGTGGACTAGACAGTGAGTGGGTGACTTGATGCACTGTAGCTAAACTGCAAAGGTGTGTCTCTCTTGTCTGCAAATGTGACACATTGATAAATCACAGGCATGAGTTATTTTTCATGTCACAGAGCTTAGCATGGTGAGGAGCTGACCATATTACTATTTAGTATACATATTTCTCCAGAGACCCTTTGCCATTTTCTGTTTTCTGAAAATAAGAGAAAAAAATGCAGGAGGCAGTGGGGGAGGGTCAGAAGGAAAAAGGAAAGAAATGGAATCAAAGGACCAAATGTCACTTGTCTTTGATTAAATCAAGTTGCTTTTTTTAAAAAAATTATTAAAGGTAGTTTTAAAACAAAAGGAAAATATGGTTTGATTACTGAAATTCCAAGCTTTTAAATCAATTTTTAATTGTGCCATGATACCATTCATGGTTCTAAAAACAACCCAGATTTCCTAGTCCACATTGGTACCTCTAATTTTTAATTCCCTTTGTGCTTGTTGCCTGTTTTTTCTTAGCTTCCCTGTTCTCTGTCAGTGCAGAACATTATAGTATTATCTCGGTGACACAACAAAGATGTAAGCTGCTTTGTCTCACAGGCTCACATACCCACTATTTTAATTCCAGTATGCTTTTCAAAGGGAGAGTTTAGTGCATCTTGGTACATAAAATACTGCTGAAGATGCTAGACTGACATCACATAGCGAATATTTGCTGACCTGAAGATTTGATGTTAGAACCCTGTCTATTTCTTGAAATCAAGTGCTTGATATAATTCAAAGTGAATTTATGAACTAGGAAATGTCTCCATGTGGGGCAGTTAACAAGCTTCTCTTTCTTGTTCTTATGCCTGCTAGCATCTAAATCAGAGGTCAGCAAGTTATGGCCTGTGGGACAAACAAACCAGCCACCTGTTCCTGTAAATACATTCTCATTGCAATAAAGCCAGGCTCGTTGATTTGCATATTATTGGTGGCTACTTTTATTCCATAATGGCAGAGCTGGATAGCTGTGACTGAGATATATATACACAGATATATGTAGAACACACATACACACACACACAAACACACGCGCGCGCACACACTCACACTCACAGACTCAAAGCCTGTCCCTTTACAAAGAATGCTGGCCAGGTTCTGGTCTAAACGAATGCTTTTTGTCCACTTAACCAGCTGAGACATGGGTTAGGGCTCTTACTGTCCTTCATCTTGCAGTTGACACCAGTTTCTTCCTTGTGTTACATCACAGAACCCTGCTGGCCCTGGGATGTCACATTGCTCATGTTAACCCAGCTGCTGAAGAGGATCTAAAAAGAGTCAAACTGCCCAAAAAGTAGGTGAATCTTCTAACAGTTCAATCTGAGTGTGAAAGCTGTGAGTGTTGGAGGCCCATGTACAAAAGCAGATGACAGACCATATCCTTGGTAGCAACTTAGAATTTTCCCCCAGTTGCTTAGATGGCCCTGAGGCTCTCAGAAGGTGCCTACTATAAGGATATATTTCAAGGTCCCCTTACTTTTCGCTTCTTCTGCCCATACCTAATACCACTATGGTTAACTTTGAGCTAGGAGATATACTGACATCAAATCAGTGCACTCTCTTTGATCGATAAGAAGAGCCATTGGCAAAAGAGCTTGGAAGTGGTTCCTAGCCCCTGCAGATATTAACTCCATTCATCCGGCACCAGGCTAACACACAAGTCCTTTATGGGAATAGGAATCTGTTGCAAGATTCCATTTGCCTCTCCATATGTGTGTGGCCTACTATCTTTCCCACCTCCACATTCAGGCAAAGTCACACATGCAGATAATTGCTGACTGGTACATATGCTGGACATTCACTGTTTTATTCTCTTGCTCCTGGATGCCAGCTCTGGGTACACACACAGTAAAACACAAGTGTCATGATATGAGCCAAAGCAGTGCCAGCTTTAATCAAATGCTCACTATCCCCATCTTTCTCGAACTCCCACGCTAATGAGTCACTTTTACACATAGCACCTGGTGCCAAGGAGATAATGTCTAAGAGATGGCATCTGGAAAGGTACACTCCAGGTTGAGAAAACCAATATACTCAATATATGCATATTGAGTCTGCCTTAAGCAGTTTTCCTGAGAAGGTAGACGGGGCAGAGTTTCCTATGACTATAACAGATGCTGTATCTCATGCTGTTCTGAATAGTCTATATAAAATGGGTCTTAGACTATCACATTCAAGTTCTTGCCCTAGTCTGGGCAGTTAGTAGTTCTAAAACCCTTCAGCATCTCTGAACTCATATTCCCACATGAATGTAATTAACTGCTCTGGGGATAGTGGCCCTATCTATAGTGTACCCAACTTTCCCCCTTACACCATATATCTATCTGAGTCATAGTAAGCTCGTTCACATTTGCATACTACTTCTCAAATTATAGGTATTTGCAGCCATGACTCCTGAACTAGAGAGTCAACTGCAAAAGCTACTTCAAGCTCACAAATTATCAGCTGCCATGGCTTTTTATTTCAATTCCAAGAAGAATTGAGCTTTCCAAGAATGGGTGACCATTCCATGCTAATTTATAAGAAAACCCTTTAGCTCAAGGTTTTATCCTTGCCAATCTGGTTTTAACATTTTGTGTTCTGAAGTAGAATGGAGGGATTTCTGATAATGCTGCAACATGCTGAATGTGTCTATCATTTGCAGGACACATAGATAGTTTTCTTAGACATAAAAGTGAATTTGTATTGACTCTATTTTCTTCATGTTATACTTTGAAGCCTATGAGGTTATATTAGTTATAAGGTGGTGCATTAAAGGCTTCATCTGTGATTGCAAAGTAGTTTGTTTTATCTATCAACCAAAGAAGGGAGATACTTGTCTGTGCCCTCATTTTCTTGCATTTGTATATGTTTGTATGTGTGTGTGTGTGTGTGTGTGTGAGAAATAGAGAGAGAGATGTATATTTGATCATAATAAAAATACAATTGTTTAATACAGAGCTCATTTCTGTTTACAGTACTGAGAGTAAGTGACTATGAGTGCTCAATTATAGATGAGCTGGCTGTATCAACCCTGCACCAAAGGCTCAGGAAACATCCCAGATGAGGGTACAGGAAGAAGTCCTATGAAGTTCTGTCCCATGAACATAACATGGTTGCTGCATACATGAACTCAGAGCAGCAGTGGCTATCTGTAGAAGACAGCTGTGGTATTGACAGTACTACACAAGATCAAGCCAGTAAAAAAAATGTCAACAGCAGGTAGAAGGAGTTCCAGAGACATTAAGTCCCACTGAGAGGCTATTGGCAGCTGATGGCTGCCTGCTAGGAACAGGGAGTCACTTTTCTTTGAAGGGGGCTACTGGTAGGTTACCCATGCTCCACTAGAGGACCCTACACCATGCAGATAAGAGGAATTCTAACTGGACTCAATACATAATTTTTTTAAGTCATGAAATTTGAAGTGAGGTTTGTTGGAGGGAGCATGGGGGCAAGTGGAGGAGGTAATGGAGGTAATAGGGTATAGATGAAAATACATTATACATACATGAAATCTTCAGAGAATAAATTTGTAAATATCTAGAAAAGGGGAATCAAATATATCTATTCAAAATGCATATACTTTTGCTTTTACTTGTAGCTATATGATGTCCAATGGGTATAAGCCAGCCCCTTTGGATTTATCTGATGTTAAGCTGTTACCACCTCAAGAACTTTTAGTGGATAAACTTGCAGAAAATGCACACAATGTTTGGGCAAAGGACAGAATAAAACAAGGATGGACCTATGGCATTCAACAGGTGAGGAGTGTTGGGTCAAGCATGTTAGAGAAGTAGATGTGGTCATCCATCAAAGTGTCATTTTGCTGTGAAGCATGTGAGATTGGAATATGGGCACTGCCCTTGTGCTCTATCCCTCACACTGTGGTTTGTTTATTATTTATAGAATCATGGACTGGGGAAATTTGTAACTGTCACATTGACATTGACTACAGGCATCATTTCAGTTTTGCAGAAGTGGACAAAGTTTAGCTTCCCTTTAGTTAGAGATTCATAAATAAAGTGAACACACAGGACAATGTATTGTATCTCATTCTCTGCCATATTATTTTCAATGTAGAGAGTTAAGTTTTCATGATGCCCTCCAAGGCCAGGGTTAGGAACAAATCGATACCCCGAGCCAGTAGTATTTCTGGGGTGGGATGTGAGAACAAATCAACATCATGGGTCATCCGTAGTTCTGAGGTAGCCCCCAAATAGCTACCACTAAAGTAAATGCAAGGGGGAGATAGCCTTGAAGCAACACACACACACACACACACACACACACACACATTTAGGTCATTGAAATAAGGATCCTTGGGCAGAACTAGATCCCTGGCTTGATTATAAAGTAACCTAACAGTTAGGTTAGCTGTGTGTGACTTCATAGCAAGGAATCCAACAGAGCATAGAATCAGGATTCATTGCAAGCCATTTGGCACAACTCCCTACCCAAACTATTTTACTCACTTTACTAATTACTAAGGGTTAGCATTCAGAATGTTCACATTAGTTAACTCATATCTCGGTATCTGTGTTGATGTTTTTCGTCACTATGACAAAATACCCAACTGAAGCAACTTCAAGGAAGAGAAGGGCAAGAGGAGTTAGCTTGTGGCTTCAGAGTAAAGTTAATGGAGAGGGAAAGTACATGGCTACAGGAGCTTAGCTGGGGCATCAGGAGCTCCTATGCTCATCTTGTTTGTATCTTTCTGGATCAGGATGTAAAACAAGATGGGGCCATCATCTTTAAACGCTTGCCTACCAGCCAGTGTCTCTCTTGGACCAGCCTAACCTCGCCTCTTAAAAGATTCCACAGGCTCCCAAAACAGTACCACAGTACCAGAGGGTCAAACACATGAAGCTATGGGAGATATTTAATTTTCAAAATATGAAATCTTCCAAACTTACTTCCAGGAAATCTGGAAGGCAAGAAGAATTCAGCTATTGGAAACATGAAGGACTGGGGATAAGTCTTAAGTACCACGCACTTAGTTTGAGGGACTTTCGTTGCCCTCATAGTCTCACCTAAGGAACTAATAATGACTCCATTTCACGATGTACCTTTTGTGATGGGGTGGGCATACTTGGCCTCTGTCATTCTCCTAGTGTCTCTCTTGTTACTTAAGGTGCTGTTGTGATGGGGTGTTGACAGTTAAATGTTCACACAGATTTCCGTAAGGAAATAGCTACACAGTTCCCTTCAGCCTTACCTTAGGAATGGAGGTTGCTAACCAATTTCATGACACTTCATTTTATTTGCAGTCTGGCATTATTAAAGTGTGTTTTTAATGCTGTCTTTGAGAATTAGCAAGATTTCTCCTTTTATACCCATTTAATCCTGAAGAAAAGTAGCAAATATTCACACTGCTAAATATCAAGCCACATGGGGAAAATCTAATAGACTAGTATGAGCCAGCCAGCAGTCAGGAGTTTGTGAGTAGGATGGGCTGCTTGTAAAACTGAAATATGTTTTCTTGGCACCTTCCCTTTGGCTTCACATAGGATTTGAAGAACAAAAGAAATCCCCGTCTGGTGCCTTATGTATTACTGGATGAGCGTACCAAGAAATCGAATAGGGACAGCCTGCGTGAAGCTGTAAGGACATTTGTTGGTTATGGATATAACATTGAGCCATCAGACCAAGAACTAGGTAACAAGCTGTGATCATTTATTCTCACAATAGTTTACTAATAAGCAAGTCCTCTTATGGGAAAATGCTACCTTTAAATAGGTCTGATTTATTCTATTGGAAATGATGTCGTTCTTTAAAATGTGATACTTTATTCTTGAAGAATTTCATACATGCATATAATGTATTTTCATTATATTCCCCTAATGTTCGTCCCCCTAACTCTAAAGCTGTTCTCATCCCCTCTCCTTCCAACTTTATGTCCTTTTTAGTTTTTATAACCCACAAAGTTCAGCTTGTGCTGCTAATGGTATATTTTAGGAGGTGGGACTTTTGTTTCTGTGAAGTCTTATCCCATTGACAGATTAATAAAAATGCATATAATATATTCTGATCCTCATTTCCCCTCCCTATCTCCTCCCAGATCCTCCCCACCTCCCTATATTCAACTCCACACCTTCTTCTTCTTTCTCTTTCTCTTTAGGAAAAAAAAACAGGAAAAAATAAAAGCAAAATTAACAATTAAAAAACACAAGATACACACCAAAAAATCCATAAAACACAAAATTGAAAACAATAATATACAATGAAAAGACCAGTAAGATTTTTTAATGTCCAAACAAAGCAACATGAGGCAAAAAATACCTGTGAAAACACCATTGAGTTTGTTTTGTGTTGACCAGCTATTGTTGGGTGTGAAGTTTTCCCTTAAGGGTGGTTTGTATACCCAGTGAGACTCCATTGGAAAAAAACTAATTTTTCCTTTCAAGTAGCTGCCAAATGGCGATAGCCTCTTGGTTAGGGATAGGAGCTCATGTCTACTTCCCCCTCTTAATGCTGAGACCCATCTGGCTTGAACCTGTGCATGCCTACTGACAGATATTTTGACAGTGTTCATTTCTGTGATCCAGACCTATGGTGAATACATTTTCTCTAGGATACCTAAGCTTTCCAAGATACCTGGTTACAGAATCAAATTACATTTATTTTCTCTCACCCTCCAAAACTTAAATACCAGATTATTTAGAGGTCAGGAAATGACAGTTTCAAGTTCAATTCTATTACTGTCAAAATCACCAGTTTACGTTGGAAGTGCCACAGGCCACAGTGGTTCATGAAATGGAAATGGAATCGGTCCTGGTTGTGGAGCTTTTTATCCTGTTTAGTATGATGCTGAACAAGCAATTTAATGCCTCTGACCCTCGGAGTTTTTTCCATCCTTATAAGGTTATTATGAAGAAATCACTATGAAATCAATATTCAGTAAATGGTGGTTCTTGTTGTTTTTGCAATGTCATGACAATAATGAAAGTGTTATGGTGTAAACAAAATGCCTTATTGGACAGTGGGAGATCTGTGACCATCTTAGTTGTTGACATCAAGTTCTTTGAGGAATACATAATTATTAAAAGTGTGTGGCATGTCTTTCCCTCCTCCCCATCTTCTGCTTCTTGCAGTAGCTGACCCTACAGTTGAGAAGGTCAGCATAGACAAGATTCGATTTTTCCGGGTAGAGCGGTCATATGCAGTAAAGTCTGGAAAGTGGTACTTTGAATTTGAAGTGGTAACTGGAGGAGACATGCGTGTTGGCTGGGCCAGGCCAGGTTGTCGTCCTGACATTGAACTGGGTGCTGATGACCAAGCCTTCGTGTTTGAAGGCAGCAGGGTAAGTCTATTCAGTAGCCACACTTGTCAGTACAAATTTGCTTTTCCAAAGTTTTCCTTGGAAGCTGGAATTAACTTGGCATCTGGGTCTTGGGCTTCAGAGAAAATAGCTACCACCACTGGATAATAGACATTGAATGAATATTGTATAGTGAGTGCCTCTTTGTTTTTGATTCTGGGAAAGAGGAAGACTATATCGCCCATCCTTTTAGTAATTATTTCCACTTCTGCCACATTCCCCATAAGATGGCTGCCTCTGCTCCAGAGGTAACCCATTTAACACTATGAGGCAATGTATTGAGATTCTTTCATATGCTCTAGAAAGAATTATGTTTATTGTCAAGACTGACTATGATCCAGGAGGCTCAGGCCACCTTATCTCATGACACTTGTGTGTCTTGGTTCTCTTCATTCTATGAACTATGCATGGTAGACCCTTTATAGAGATCATCTGCTACCAGAAACTAGGAGATCCTGCTACTATGGCCATATCTCCAATTTCGGAGCTTCTTGGGCCTTTTTTCCCTCTTTTTCTCTAAGACTGTGATCTTGTTTTGCAGGGTCAGCGTTGGCATCAAGGTAGTGGGTACTTTGGACGAACTTGGCAGCCAGGAGATGTGGTCGGGTGTATGATTAACCTGGATGATGCTTCCATGATCTTCACACTGAATGGGGAACTGCTGATTACCAACAAAGGCTCTGAACTTGCCTTTGCTGACTATGAAATTGAGAATGGTAAATCCAACACTTCACCCTCCCTTACCCTGTGGAGTTGAAGGAAAACCCAGGCAAGCTGATGGAGTTCCATAGCACTCTATTGAAAGTACACTATCCTTTGCATGTTCAAAACTCTAAGGGAGATGACCATCCCTTATGCTGCAATTTCCAAAGAATCAAACAAAGAATGGTGATAGTCAGTGTGCAGTTGTAAATATGAATTTGGTAGTGAGGCTAAGATCCCCAGATTTTCTTTGAATACAATGGAAATGCTAATTGTGTACAGTGGAACGTCCTTGGCAGGAGAGAAAAAATCCGTGGATTAAAGGGTTATCCTTTTATTCTGATTTGAATTGTCATTCTGCATGTTTGTGTAATTGAACTTGATGCTTTGATGGGAACCATTGGAACACAAAAACTAGATTTAGCTGTTGCCTTGAATGAAATATAATTTATTTTGAAATTCAAACACACTATGAAATCAAAGCAGAGTTGTGCTTATTATTGGCCATGGATATAGAACAATCAGTACAATGCTTCCAGTGACACAAAGGAGCAGTTAGAGCTTATTATTTTTCTGTCTGCATGACCATACAAGTTGTATACAGATTGTCAGCATATGGAGAAAGAGCACTGGACTACAAACTGGCAGACCTGCTCCCTTTAAACTATACAGCTCCTGTGGAGTCTGCCTGACTGCTCTGGGCTTTATATTCTTCATCTATCAAAGTAAGAGGACAGATAAAATAAATTCCATTGTTCTCCCCAGATACGAAATTCTGACAGTGACATAACATGGCTGTGTGCTTACCCCTGAGCTGTGTGCTGTGTTACGCTCAGTTTCATAATTTCAGATAGGAAGGATGCTGTTCTGAGGCTGGAGACAAAGCCCTCGTCCTACACCTGCCTTCTTGTGACATCTTAGCCTCTTTGAGCCTCATTTCCCCCTCTGTAAATGATTAGGACTATTTGTAGCACAGGATTTCTGGAGAGGTTATAAAAATAAGAGTCTGTCTCAAAAACACTTAGAGATATGTAACTGCATGAGCAAGAGAATAAAAATAGATAAAGACATGTTTATATGATAGAAATTTTCATTACTTACTGAATGTTTTAGCCTTATGAAGATGTACTTTTTGCAGGCACCTGTTCTCTGCAATGTGCTTGTCCAGCTGAACCATTCAAGAGGTTTCTGAGAATCTAGTATTTGGAAATAGCAATGTTGCAGCTGAATCTGTTTTCCTAGAGAAAAGAAATCACTAAATCCACATGGGGGTCATACTTTAATGCCCTTTAACAGGTTTAAACCCCATTTTTAAGGTCTTGATTGAAGAGATGAGTGGAAAGATGTGATATTGCCATATGGAGGAATAGAAACTGTGTAGCTTTGGATGTAAATGAGAGGGAACGCAGCAGACATCAGAGCAGTGTAGGGGAGCCCCCCCAGGGTTCCACCATTGCTGTATCCCTGAGTCAGAAAGAACATGAAGGACTAGACAATCCAGGCATTTCCCCCATGGAGCATAGGAAGAGTCCAAAGACAAATACTTTTTTCCTGGCTTTACTATTGTGTAACCTAGAAGGGGATTGTGTATTTACCTGCCTTTGGTTCATTTATAAGATAAGAATCTTGTCTGACTTGCAGTATTGAGAATTTTGTGAAGTTTGTATACCTTTACATTAAGTACAAAGCCTTGATAGTTAATGTATGTCCCACCATGTTAAGAATGTAGTATCTCATACCACCCCCACTCCCCCGCTGGCAGAATCAATGCCTGCATCCTACCCAGATGCTCTGGTGGTTTGCACTCATCTTACATTCTGAGATGCAGTGATCTAACACAGGAGCAGAGGCAAGCGGTGACAATGCAAAGGAGCTCCTTTCTAATTGTGGAGTAAGATGAAGGTAGTGAAAGATGACTAATAACCCAGAACATGAGTTATAAATGGCAGAGTGACTAATACAGTGTGAAAAAAAATCTCACACGAGTGGCATCTGAATTGAATGTTGAATAAAGAATCCAGAGTGAGTAAGTCAAAGGAGAAATGTAAGCCCATCAAGATGCAAGGGGACCAGTGTTGTAACAGCAGGAAGCTACAGGAAGGGATGGAACAGTAAGAAGGTAGAGATTTATATATGAAAAGGATAAATGATAGAGCTGGCAAGGTGGATGAGGTGAAGATCATGGCCTTACATGTCAAGACTGTTTTCTCATCCAAGAAATTCATGTCTAACGTGAGCTGAACATCCCTGGGCTTTACTTTGTGAAATGGGTATACTACAGTGTTTGAGCAGAGAGATGCTGTCAAGGAGAGGACTGTTTGAGAGTAGCTCAGCTTTCAAAGATTCTCTGTGCTGTGATGAAAGAGATGCCTTTTTGTGCAGGGACATGATCTGACCTTCAGAATAACAAATTCTATTATTAAGAAGCTGTCTGATAATAGACTTGTACTGTAATATGTTTGTGCATTATACTGTGGTGTTGTATCTGCTCTAATAATACAGAGACAAGATAATTGGAAGGCTCTTTCAGCTCTGTGATAGCGTAGGAGTTGGCAGAGGGATGGTTGAAAGGAAGCTTATGTGTCATTCTTTAATAACAACAGCCCAGAGGCCAGTGATAACCATATGACATCTCTTTGTTCATTGCAAAATGTGGAATGAGGCAGGAGATCTTGCCTTGACTTTTAAGAGAACCATGTGTTGGAACAAAACATATAATGTTTGTGGTCACCTTGAGGCATAATGCCCCATGTAATGGTACTGTGAGGGCACCAGTGTGTCATCCTAGATCCTCAGTAGGAATTGTTTGGTCTTATGGTGAAAGAATAAGAAGCATTTCAGGGTGTAGTTTCCCCTTGGTCTCAGAAGAGTTATGCACTCATTGTCTCTATCCTCTTCTGCATCACAAATGGTAAGTTCCTAGCTGTTTCATTGTTTCCTGCCCTGGTTCCTGGCCTAGACCACCATAGCTCTTGCTATTGTCACAGCCTCAGGTATCTGGAAGCTCAAAAGTTTCCAAAGTAGAAGCTTTGCAGTTAATATTCACATTTCCTTCACTGAAGGGAAAGACAGAGAAGATCCTGAAGATCCTACCAGACCTGGGGATGAGACATCTGTAATAGGCTTTGGTGTGTGCAGTCCCCTGGAGACACATCTGCCTCTTGCTGCAGCTTTGGAGTTTACAGGGCAGCCATCCATGTTGTTCTAACAGGTTCCAGGACTCTGCTAACAGCTAGGTGGGAGAAGAAAAAGCTTATCCGATGGAAGTGGCCCTGCCACCTGTGGCTTTTGCCAAAGGGCCCTGTATTATCTCCCTAGATAGGGGTTGCGCCCAGAGACTGATAGTGGCAAAGAAGTGTCACTTCTTGTTTCCTGATCATTCCATGCCTGCTCCAACCATCACAGGGATGTCTCTGAATTCCATCTTGGGGCGTAGCAGTATATAAGAAGAATAAAAGCACATGCCATGGTTGAAATTCAGAGAAATACCCCAAGAATGGTCCAGGGTCATCTAACCACATGTCTGCCAGATCCCTGTCTGCACTACTGCTAGTGATGTTCCTCATGTCTGCCTGCAAACTGAAATGAATACAATCAATCATTGTTTGGATTTTCTAGATAATTGTTTCTTTCTGATCATCAACCACCTGAGACTTTAAAAACAAAACAAACAAACGAAAAACCCCTCTTTACCACCAAACTAGTATGAGATACCACCTATATGATACCAAGTTCACCAGAACGTGGGATCCTCTAAGTTTTAAGTTCATGCTTTCTTCTCCTTCCTTTCCTGGGATGGCAGTTCTATATGCATGGTTTGACTTAATTCCATTTGCATGCAATCTTGAACCTCTTCAAAGTTGTCTGCATATTCACATCTATTTGTTGAGTATAAGGAAGTGGCAGAGGGAGATGGCACCTTTGCTCATATTATTTACCTTTCTTACTGTATCTCCAGTCTCATTCGGGCTACAGCTTAGTTGGTCTGTGTGTGTAGTGACAGTCCTTGTGTGTGACAATAAAACGCTATGCTAATGGTAATGTCACATGGCCTTGTTACCCATATAAACTCCAGAGAGTCATGTGATCCTTGTGTACAGGTAGACCTGTTCCTCTGAGGGGCCTGAAGGGCCTGTCAACTCTGTGTTTTCAATAGACTAATCTAGAGGCAAAACAGTGAACTACATGACTCAGCAGCATTTTCAGAAGGAATGAAGATCTAGCCACAAAGAAAATTAGTTTAGAATAGAATTGGAAAACAGCTACCCTGACTTGCCCCTTTAATGTTTACTCTGGAGTTCTATTCAGGCCACATTGTTCACACACTGATGCTGCAGTTTTCCTAGTAAAATTGATCAAGTTACTTAATTCCTTAAGTCCTGGTTTCCTCATCTGTAAAATTGGCAGAAAGATTTTTGTTTGTTTTGTTTTTGTTTTGGGGTTTTTTGGTTTTGGTTTTGGTTTTGGTGGTGGTGGTGGTTTTTATTGTTGTTGTTTTGATTTTGTTGTTGTTGTTGTTTCTCTGTAGCTTTGGAGCCTGTCCTGGAAGTTGCTTTTATAGACCAGACTGGCCTTGCACTCACAGAGATCCACCTACCTCTTCCCAAGTGTTTGGGGAGAGCAATGAAAAAGATGTCTTGATGGAGGGTGACATTATACGGTTTGGGAGAAATTCTCAGGAATCCACAAGGATGGTCCCAGATAAGACTCCTAGCTGTAGTGGAGAAGAAGTCTGAATGGACCATCCTCTTTAATCCGATTAATAGTAATCATAGAACCTACATCCAGTAACTGATGGAAGCAGATGCAGTGACCCACAGCCAAGCCCTGGGATGAGCTCCTGGAGTTCAGTTGAAGGGTGACCTGAGCAAGTGGGAGCTCACAGACTATGGACTGACAGCTGGGGAACCTGCATGGGACAGAACTAGACCCTCTGAATGTGGGTGACAGTTATGTGTGGCTTGATCTGTTGGATTGGGTGGCAGGCAGTGGCACCAGGACCTATCCCATGTGTATGAACTAGGGTTTTGGGTCTCATTTCCTATGGTGGGATACCTTGCTCAACTTTGATACAGGGAGTAGGGGCTTGGTCCAGCCTCAGATTAGTATGTCAGATTTTGTCAACTCCTCTAAGGAGTGGATGGGGGATAGAGAAGGAGGGAAGTAGGAGAATGGGAGAAGGGGAGGGAGGGAGAACTTGCATTGGTATGTAAAATGAAAAATAAATTTTTAAAATAAAAAATGGGCATAAAGAAATAACTCGGTAGAGCATCAAGCCCATCATTCAGAAAGCAATTGACAATCATTTGCTGTTGTAGTTTATTGCATCATTGTTTCCCCTTCCCTTATCTATCATGCACAATTACAAAGTTACATGAAATATTGACACATTGAGTTGGAAAGACCCAAGATGGTGAGATGGTTAGCTAGACCCACTGGATGGATGGAGAGAGTTAAGTAAATGTGGCCAGATATCAAATCTGCTTCTCCAAAAGAAAGTGCCTCATGTAAATTAATCTTTCCTCTATGACTTCCTAAGTGTCTTTTTCCTGATTCAAGTCTTAGAGTTACCTTCTCTCCTTCTGCATCACTGAGTATCTGCAGCTCTACCCACTTAGCCCCCCAAGGGGTCCCCAACACTTATCTCCCATTGTTCTAGCATCTGTGACTTATGTGTCCAGCCTTTCCCAAGAGAGGGCTCCAACCCACAGGGATAGTTACGCCACTCTATAATATGATGTCCTCTACCTGGGGACATACTGCCATTTAAACTCAGGGCATTCATCCCTGTACCATCTATCTCCTTCTATCATACTGACTGGCAGCTGGATTGTGACTCAGAGGGTGTGAGATCATTTTGTACTGGTAGTCCTTCTCATGACCTCGGTTAAGTCTGTTGGTGCCTCAAGTCATCAGTTTCATCCTCAGTTGAATGCTATCTCATAATAATGATGAGGAACCCAAGTTCCTTAGGGTGGGAAAGAAGGCTCGATGCAAATAATACCTCTCCCACCTTCAGTTGTCTGTGGGTCTGTCTCAAGACTAGCCTTCTTTTTCCTGCTTCCTCTCAGAATTTTATACCTGCTGAGTGACTACCCCACAATTCTACTAAAGGAGAATGGAGAAGGGAGTTTCTTAAAGTTTCCTGGTCTCTGCTCACTTCAAACTTGGAGTGCTTAATATCTGGCTCTAAGATAAAAGTTCCATAGTAGTGCATTTCTGGCTTGTGTAACCTCCTTTATCAGAATGACTGAAGCACTGATTTTGGAGAAAGGTGGTTTGCATCAAAAACATTCATTCTTTTAAATCCCGTTCCTTGTCTTCCTGTAAGATTGGGGCCATTCTTCTTCATCCCTGAAGTCTTGTTACTTATTATGTAAGAGCCCCCTGTCCTACTGAAGAACTAGGAACATCTAGTAATCTTTGTTCTACTCTGTAGTCAGATTCCCAGGTAACTTATTTATAAGTAGCAAGCATAGCATTGCTAGGGCAGCTTTTGGTTAATCAGTCTACTCCCTCTCCGGAGTGACAGGACCAGAGGTCTGGCCCCAATGTTTAGTGGTCATCAGAGGTCTCTGCTAGGAGGACATTAATGATCTCTATTTTTAATAATGGTATTAAGCACTTCTGTATCCAAAATAAATTCATATTTCCTAACACCATGCAACTAGTATGCAGATGACTCACTTTTTAAGTATGTGACATGATTTACAAAAGAACATATTGGCATATGGGCCCCATAGCTTATCTGACTAAAGGACCTGTATATAACAAGAACACCATAGTTTAGGTGACAATATATAAGTACTAACTCTACCAAGAATGCAGTTTGGTCTTGATATATATGAACAATATAAAAACTTCCTATTGTTTGACATAATACTCTCAAAATTGTCCTTTTGTTTCCCAGAAAAGATGAAAATGTCTTCCTGAAACACGTATTCCATACACTGAAAAACATTAATAGTAAAACCACTTCTTCTAAGAGTGGCACCAGTTTTCTTTGTGGGGAGCCCCAGTGCCTGGATGAGGCATGAGCCGCAGAGATGTTACTCCCCTTCCTGGTCCTCTCTGCAGCTTCAGCTGTCTTCCAGCCGCCTGACTCCCACATCTTCCCAGATCCAAGATAATTAGTGCTTTCCCTACTTTCCTGATTTGTTGGTCTACAATTATGATTTATAAATAACCCACAAAGAAGAAAGCCAGACAATTTGAACCTCTGCTTTGGTCTGTTCTGAATTTTTAAATATTTTCAGGTCATAGAAGTGAGCCTGGAGAAATGACAATAGTGGTGGGAGAAGATAGAATCTTTTCTGGCATGTTCTTGGATCTTGCATTCCTCCTTAGGTGATGAGGATAGTAGACAACAAGGTGAAAGCTTATAAACCAGCAGCAATATAGTCTTAGTATTCAACACTCTCAAAACACAAAGGACCATTCCTCCCATTTCACCAATGAGCAGTCTGAGACCCGGAACAGTTAAACAATTTGCACTATCACTTTTGTATTATTTGATTCTGTTCTTTGACAATTGCACATATGTATATATACTCTGATTACATGCCCTACACAACTCTCTTTTTTTCTCTCCCCTCCCCATCCTTGTCAGTGACCTCTCATCCCATAGAGTTCCTTGCCCAGATTCTTGACTTTTGGTTTGATTTTGAGACCCATTTAATTTAGTTAGGGCCATCACTGTGACCATTAGATTGGAACTATCCATTGGAACTCATGGGATTGTAATAAGGACACAACTAAGGATGTAACTACCACTGTTACTGAATCTATCAAGAGCAAATACTTATTAATGAGGGGTAAAGCCCCTTGAATCCCACCTCCATTCATGCCTGACTGTTGATAGACCTATTCCTATGCAGACTCCATGTAGACATCCACACTACCAATATGTTTATAATAACAGAGGCTGTGTCTTGCTCAGAAGATGGTGTGTCATAGCTCTACTCGCTGTCTTCTGGCTCTTACACTCTTCCCACTGCTGCTTGCAGAATGGTTTTGGAGGGAGTGGTATAAGTGATAAATGTCTTGTCCAGGGCTGAACACTCTTATACCACCTGCTCTCCACATTTCGAGCATTCACCAGCATTCAGTGGAAACAGAGTCTTCTCTGTTGAAGCATGAGTGTAACATTTCTCCATGGGTATAAATACAAATGCTTAGAAGGCAGCTTAACACTATATCAATGTAGCTGAACAATACCATCTAATTACCCAACTTGGACCTAAAAGCTGCTCTTCCTTGGGCCAAATATTTTTAACCATGTTTACAGTACCAGGCATGGATTCCCTCTAATGGGACCTAAACCCAATCATAAAACAGCTGTTTAGCTCTATAAGAGTAGTATCAATAGATACACTTTCATTTTTTAATTAATTGAAGCATGTATAATTAAGATATAAAGTTACTATAGTAAAGAAATTCACATTTGTTATCTCACATTGTTGACTATTTTCTTATTTTATGTTTTGGGGCTTTTTTGTTTATTTTGTTTTTAGTTGTGTTTTTATTTTCTAATACAGGGTCTCACTGTGTAATCTGGCCTAGTCTCAAACTCCCTGTGTAGATAGACTGATATAGATCTTTGGATCTTTCTGCTTCAGCTCCTAATAGCTGGGATTACAGGTGTGCCCTATCAAACACCGTGTTTTTACTGTTGCTATAAAAATTTGTTTCTATTTATTTTACATGCATAGATATTTTTTGCCTGTATGAATTTTGTGAATCATTTGCATGCCCTGTGCTGGCATCGGGCTTTGGATACCCTGGAATTGAAATGGTTGTGAGCTGCCACATAGATGCTGGGAATCAAACCTGTCTCCTCTGAAAGAGCATCCAATGCTCTTAACTGTTAAACCATCACTCCTAAACTCAGGCCCTAAAATCAATTTTAAATAAGGCATAGATAATAGATTTTACTTTTGTCATATTTGTCTTACTGTTCTGTCTTAAGAATGTTCTTAGCTGCATTTTTTACAAATAAATTTGAACAAAATTCACTTTTCTCTTCCATATACTAAGAGCAATATCGTGTCTAAGCAGCTTCCCGTTGTCAGTTTTGTGTGTCAAAAAGACAGACAAGACAAGGGTTATTTTCCATCTTAACTCCTGGACCTTTCAGTCAGAACAGAAAGTGCAATTCCACCTTCTTCACAAATGGTCCCTCTGCACTGAAGCCACAATCTTTATTCTGCAGGTTTTGTACCCATTTGCTCTCTGGGGCTGTCACAGATTGGCCGTATGAATCTTGGGACAGATGCCAGTACCTTCAAGTTTTATACTATGTGTGGCCTTCAGGAGGGCTTTGAGCCTTTTGCGGTGAATATGAACCGAGACGTTGCCGTGTGGTTCAGCAAGCGCCTCCCAACATTTGTGAACGTGCCGAAGGATCATCCCCACATAGAGGTAACGGTACCCCATGGGCGGCCCTAGCAGGATAAGTGGGCTAAGGCAGCAAGTTCTCACAAAGTCTGCTGACAACAGGAAATGGTTACCTAAATCCCTACCATGTCTGCCTACCCACTACCAAGTGGGGTCTACATAGCTACATTGCAGGGCCCTTAACTTATGACACCCCACAGGAGAAAACAGCCTGGTACACAATTTTGCAGAATGCTTCCCAGGCTGGGTCATAAGATTCTTTGCCAACATTCCTACAATGGCACTCCCATTATACTTCAATGCCCAGAGATTTTATACTTTATTTTCTTCATAAAGTTTAACATTTCTACTTGGCATTATGTACAATAAACATGTGTCTTCCTCCATGCTCATAGCTTACCTTTGCAGCCTTGTTTATATTAGTGATGTTACTACATTTTTAAGCTGAAGTGTGAGACTTTATTATGGCACTTCCACCTTTAAGGAAAGCAAAGATTTTAAGAAGCCAAATTTGAGTTGTGGATCTGTTTTGATGCGACCCACTGTGATTTTTCACATTATGGACATGGAGAAAATAGTGCTTTAAAATGAACCAGCTCTATTTCAGCATAACTTGGGTTCAAGCAAGTGGTTTGTTAAACCTGACCCCAACCCCCCTAACCTTCTAGAAGGTCTGAACCTGACAAGCTACAGTTCTTAATTTCTCCTCCCAGATCGACCCTCACATTTTGGGAGTAGAGTATATTTCTCTGGTTGCAGGATAACCATTATTTTTAAAGTGTGGTTCTAAATCCTGGAGGTCTCACATGCCTTTGGCAAACTAATGGACTCTAGACTTAGGAAAAATAGGTGTTATAGGAAGTGTGATTAAGGTACGTGTAATTTTAGTGCTGGGGAAGTAGAAACAGGTAGATCCTTGGAGCTTTCTGACCAGACAGCCCAACCTAGTTACAGTATAAGAACAGAACTGTCTCTCAAGACAAATTGTTGGCATCCACACATAGGTTCATACATGTTCTTGTACTTATACACACCCACACGAACAAACATACACACATACACCCACATGAATACACAAACATGTGCACCCACATAAACACAATACACACAAACACACACAGACAAATAAGCACACATGCACCCACATGAACACACACACACACACACAAAGTGATTATTGTAGGTTACCACTCTGCAGTACACTGTGGTCCGAAGTCATGAATCACCTCAGGATTTAGAGCAGGCCTAGGACACCTGAGCTCTAGGGCTAGGACTCCAGCACAGATGGAGACGTGTGGGGTGAAAGTACCCTCTAAGAGAGATTGTGTGGCTGTTCCTGAGTTTGGAGCTCTCTGGCCCCTTTCTGTAAGATGTTCTCATGATGCCTCTGACAACAGAAATCTTTGGAAAGATTTCCTTTCAACCGCTTGTCCCATGATTTAAAAGGTCAGCATTGTGTGAGCACCACACTATATCACCCAGGCAGCCATACCTCTCTCTAGTATTTGTTCTCCATCCTAGACCTTGCAGTGAATCTATGGGTATGTTTTACATCACTGATTTCTCCACCCAGGAGTAGAGCTGAAGTTTCCTAGCAGACAAAGTTCACACCATGAATAACACATTTTGGTTTATTGCTAGTGATATTACACAGTTTGCAGAATGTCTTCTTCTATGTTAGGTCAGTGAGAGACAGAGGGACAGGGTCAAGGTCACATACGCCTTCCTATGCATCAGGTTAAGGACTCATGGTGATGTTCCCAGGTTGTAAGGATTGATGGCACCATGGACAGCCCCCCATGCCTCAAGGTGACCCACAAGACATTTGGCACACAGAACAGCAATGCCAGCATGATCTACTGCCGCCTGAGCATGCCTGTCGAATGCCACTCCTCTTTCAGCCACAGCCCCTGTCTAGACAGTGAAGCCTTCCAGAAAAGGTGAGGGGGTGAGACAGTCCTGTAATTCTCAGAGGTACTATCTGTATCTGCTCTTGGGTTGTCTTTCTGTTTGTTTTGTACTCAACCGCAACATGAGAAGTGAGTTTATGGCTTCTCTGCCTTCAGTTAGGCAAAGAAATGAGGATGTAGAGGGCTGGGGAGATAATTCTCTCTCTGTAAAGTGTTTGCTGCACAAGCATAAAGCTCTGTACTAGATCTCCAGAACATTGTTTGTTTGTTTGTTTTTAAGAAAGATATGGTGGCATTTACGTGTTCTCCCAGTGCTAGGGGGAAGAAAGAGGTAGATCTCAGGTGCTCACTGGCCAGGCAACCTCTCAAAAAACAAAATAGATGGAGGCTGAGGAACAGCCCCTGATATTGCTCTCCATACTCATGTACAAACATGTGCATGTGCTCCTATACACACTTGTGCATCCATACATCCATGTGCCACTGCATGCAGGCACACGTTTGTTCCCACACACGTGCACACACAAACAGAAAGAAATGAGTATATGTTTGTGCATGTGAGTTCACACAAGGGTATGTGTGTATAGAGATGCTCTGCAAAATTAAGAAGCCCATGTAGCTAAACAGTAACGTCTGGAGCGGGTTTCTATTCTCCTTGGAATCTCTGAGCTTGGGCCTCTTTGTGTTCATAATTCTTACAGTTTAGGAGCAGAAAGACAGCTTCTGTGTGAAATGAGAAATTTCCAGAGGCCAATTGCTGTCTTTGCATAGCCATGGGCATTTCCCAACCTTGCCCCTATGAGCCTCTTGAGTAATGTGATTTCTTCCTTCCTGATAAGGAATGGATTCCTTGCTGTCTTTCTTTCCTTTGATGTCTATTTTTAATCGCTGGTGTGTGTCTGCTGTCTATGCTGTCTTGTCCAAATCTCTAGTAGCAGTTCACTCTCCATCAAGGTTTTGAATAAGCACAGCTGCTTGAGGGAACGTGGTAACACATTCAGAGGCATCTCTACCTATGTTATTACAGCACCCCATTCCTCTTCCACATTAACTTACAACCTGCAGCAGGGGAATGCTGGAAGTCATAGTACTGCCTATGGCAGCAGCTTACAAATGAGCAACTCCTAAGACCACTTGCAGTCACTGGTGGATAGAAAACAGCCAGTTTCCTAAACCTGCCTTGATCGTTAAAGGTAGATCAATTGCCTGTCAGAACTGTGGGATTCTCTATACAACCAAATAACTAAAACATAGATTATCTCCCCCTAGGAAACAGATGCAAGAAATACTCTCTCACACAACAACAGTAAGTAAACGTGCTCAATTATGGCTTTAATTATTTGATTTGCTCTTCCTGGTAATATGCCCTACACAGCAAAGATGTGTCTAGAGATCTTCTTTAATTGTCAATTACTCTGTCTCATAACATACATTTGGATGCTTCCAGAACATTTCTATGGTGTGTGTTGAATAAGGGAAAGAAAGCAGAGCTCAACCTGGAGCTCCTAATTGGATATCATGTGTCCTTGTTGCCCGTTTGCCACCAGGGACCCATCACTGCCTTTCTGATTGAAAGAAACATGAGTTGGAAGAGTCCCAATTAAACCCTTTTGTTTGCTCTTTTGTGTCAACTTCTATGAGCCAGTTCCCTGGTGTCTCGGTTCGGTGCCAGGAGCAATCTTGAAAGCAATCAAAGAAAGAGTAGGAAGGCAGTCCAAAGGATTGAAGCTACTTCAGGTTCCATTCTGTAGTGACAGGAGGCAGAAAAAAATATTTCCTAGTTTCCTTCTTTCATTTTCCCTTAGTACCTGGTACTCATGGGAGAAATACATGCCACCCCTTCTATAAAGTTTGCCCTGAGTTCATAAACTAAACAACATTAAAACAAAGTTTCTTGCTGCAGCAAATCATACCCCTGCTATGTATGGGCACTATAGTCAACACATTATGTATATCCCCATTTAATCTCCATTTCATTGACTTAATCACAACTCCTGTGAGATAAGTGATATTGTGCACAGAGAAGGCAAAAGACTTACCCAAGTTCACACAATAATAATCAGTTGTGCCAAAGATTCAAGCCTAGGTTTTTTCTAACTATGCTTTGTTTTTTGTCACAGTCAAGAAAATTTGACACAGTAAAGATAAGTAAACTTGTTCATTATTGTAAAGAAAGGAATGAAGTAGTCACCTTCCTTGGTGCCACAGCTATTACTGTAATATGGTGACAAGCTTCACAGATTGTATGATGATCATCATGGGGAACTTTTGTCCTTACCACTACCTATGGTTGCATAAAGGCCACACAGAGTGACTTGATGGCTAGGACATAGGCATTTTCCTTTTCAGCTTCCTTCTCAAGACTTTGTATAAACAAAAGCCTTGTTCTGAGTCTAGAATGTAGAATGGTATACCTCCTCAACAGTGTGTTGCTTTAGCAAGGTGTGGTGACACAGGCTGAGAAAAGAGGCATGATACAAGTTCAAAGCTAGCTTGAGCTACAAAGTGAGACCCAACTTGGGAAAAGAAAAATAAACCTTCAGTGTGCACTTCTTTTTTTTTCCTTTTTTTAAATTATAAACTAGCTTGCTTCATATGTCAATCCCAGCTCCCTCTCCCTCTCCCTCCCCTCCTCTCTTGCCCTCCACCAGCTCCACCCAGCCCCCCACCCAATCCCCACTTCGTTCCCCAGGGAGGGCGAGGCCCTCCGTGGGGGATCTCCAGAGTCTGTCATTTCATTCATGGCAGGGCCTAGGTCCTCCCCCAAGAGTCCAGGCTGAGATAGCATCCTTCAATGTGGGATGGGCACCCACAAGTCCATTTGTATGCCAGGGGTAAATACTGATCTACTACCCAAGGCCCCATAAACTGCCTAGGCCTCCTCACTGACAACCACATTCAGGGAGTCTGGATCAGTCCCATGCAGTATGCACTTCTTAATAAAACTGAACCAAATGAACTACTGAATAATTTTATCTCTCAGTTCTTCTCCCCAGACAGACACCTCTCACACACTCTGTTGTCCCCTCCACAGCAATGCTACTATGCTATCCGCATTTTTGCTGGGCAGGACCCATCATGTGTCTGGGTTGGATGGGTGACTCCTGACTACCATTTATACAGTGAAAAGTTTGACCTGAATAAAAACTGCACTGTGACTGTCACTCTGGGAGATGAAAGAGGTCGGGTCCATGAAAGGTAAGGTGACTCCTGGGAGGCTTCTTTTGCCCTACAACAGTCATTTACACCTCATCCCTCACCCCAGATAGAGAAAGCCTCCCAGCCTCTCTTAAAGGAACATAACTGTTTTAAAATCATTAAGGAAACTGGCATCATCATGACAGTGAAAATGGAGTATTCGTAGAGACAGAGGTTTGTTTCATAACATATAGATCACAATCAAGAGATGGGAGATAAAGATAGGCAGTTGGAATGAGAGAACCCTCCTGAATTTGCTCCATGATTTTGAGTTAGGCTTTCATTTCTACAACATCAGAACAAGGCATAAAAAGTCCATGTGCCTAAGAGGAAATAGTTAGGGGGAAATAGAAGAGATGAACAATAGCATACATTAACTGACAAATCAGAACCCCTCATCCCAAGAGTTTATAATGTGTAAAAGCATAAAGATATAAAGGAGACATGGGAAATCCATGAATAACAACCAATGAGTCAAAATAGGACTCTCTGGGGGAAATATGTTTTAGGCCCACCTAGGTCCTCCACTGTCCACTGACACTGCTCTTAGGGAAAATCTTTGCCTAGATGTGTCCCAAACATGACCTTAAAAAACCATGTCTTATCATCTGTGCACTTCCTATCCTCTGGGTTTGGAACGTATTTTCCTTGGGTAGCCATGTACCATGATGTAGTAGGTTCTTCTCAGGGAGGCCTTCACACCCAGCTAAGTCAGGGATCCTTTTCAGTGAATGCTTTTTATTCAGTAAAGCTCATGAAAATCTGACCATCACAGTGAGTCTTCATGACAGGTCTCTGTGGGCAGATGATGGAAATCGCAAACTCTTAACTCAAGCTTGGGTGGTGATGAGGTGTGAAAGTAATTTCCAGTCTCTTACTAGCCATGTGAGCCTGAACTCTGGTTTCCTTATATATAAAATGAAACTAATAATTATTCAAACCCCAGAGTGCTGTAAAAAGTAAATGAGTTAATTCATAAAAGAATGTTTAGGACAGTGCCTTACCTCGAGGACTTGACAAATACCAACCATTACTGTCAGCACTTACAGAAAAGCCTGGTACATTGTGGTGATCAATAATTCTTAGCTCTTTGTCTGACATGATAAGCAATAAACACAGGGTTGAGTTTTACATGTTTCAGGGCATTTTAAATTCGGTATCTTTAAAATAAACACAAAGCCTGCCACTTCACAATACACAGCTCAATACATCAGTAATTGAATTCTATCACTTAAAAAGCAAGTGATAACATATCCTGAGTGTGAACTTTATAGAAATTTATCCATGGGTATAAACAGAAGACACAGTGTATAGAGAGGTCTATGCCTGAGGGTACTCATCCTGAGAAAGCAGCCCCATTGATGCCCCCAAATAAGAGAAAATGAAAGGTACTCAGAAAGGGGATTCCCACTCACACGAGAACGTGGCAGACTTCCAGAAATAGAAGGAAACAGAATCTCATAATGCAGCCTGGATTTTCCAAAGAGTAGTTCAGAGAGGTAAATAGTCTTCAGGATATGGGATTCAAGGATCTGTCCATCACACAGTACTGAATGAATGTTCTGGGTTCCTTCAAACAGCTGAGAGCCACAACAGGAACCTAGGCCAAGTCACATCAGGTTGGTCTCAGTGTGTTCAAAGGGGTTTCTCTAGCATCCAGTAGAGAATCAATTGTCCTTTAAGCTAAAAAAAGACTACATCACATAACTTTAGAAGCCCAAGTTTCACCCCAGGTGAGCTGAGGAAGATGCAGAACCGACTGCTTCTTGTCACCACCTATTGGGAGGAGCTCTGAGAATCCCATTTCACATTGTCTGTCTTTTCCATAGCTCTCTCTGGGTATAGAATTCTGCAATTAAGAAATGAGAGTTGGGGCTGTAGCTCAGTAATAGCGCCCTTCCTTATACTGCATAGGATCCTGGGTGGGGTTCCTGTCACCACAAAAGTGGAAAAGATAAGGAATTTGGTTTGGGAGCTTTTAAAGGTTTTTGAAAAATCGCAGTTTGCTTTTAAGGCCATGTGGAGGTCTATACTCTGAAAACTGGTAAACAGAGATAAGCCTACATTGTTATTTAGTTATTTAGGCTATTTAGTAGTGTAGCTTGCAGACTTCTAGAGAGCAGGAAAATATAGTGTAGTACAGGTCAGGGAGCTAGGAGACAATTGGAGACAAGTAGTCTATCTGGACCCCACTTATCATTCCAAGGAATATGGGCCAAGTTTTCAAGTATTTTATGGTCTGTGATACTGGATATCAGACAGAGATACCGAACCCAGACAACTGCTTCTGCTTCTCATACCAAATCCCTCTACAGATTTGCCTAAGGTTAGCCTCACCTCTGTGTTACGATTTTCTGTCCCTAAAATGGGAGTACTACCCACCTCATTGTCAAAAGATTGAACTGCTAATGACTTGGGAAATAATTACCTACCATTTTGCCACATCTCCACACACAGTGGCTCATGCCTGAGTAAATTTAGTTGAAGCTGAATGGTTTCATTCAAGAAAACAATTGTGTAGGACTAATTGTAAAACTTCATAGAGAGGATTCTGGGGTAATTTACACATGAGTTATGATTAGAAACCGGTCAGACTATATTCTGTAACTTCTCTCTTTTCTATGGTTTTCAGTGTGAAACGCAGCAACTGCTACATGGTCTGGGGTGGGGACATTGTAGCTAGTTCCCAAAGATCAAGTCGAAGCAATGTAGACCTGGAGATTGGCTGCCTTGTAGATCTGTCAATGGGCATGTTGTCCTTCTCAGCTAACGGGAAGGAACTTGGCACCTGCTATCAGGTAGGTGTGGCATCTGGGGCTGAGCTGTTGCTTTGGACCCCCAGGTTTATGGCTATGTCCTTCATTCTTTCCCACCTTCATCATCCTCCCTCATCCAGTTGGTGAAACCGTGTGGTCTACTGCCCATTAGGTTAGCAAATAAACAAGAACAGAGTGATTGTATTTTATACAGAGAAAAATATGTTTATTTACTGGGTGGTTTTTTTTGTATTCTAGTCATCTTTCCAGGGGAGAGAGCAGCTTTTCCTTATTGAGCTCTGAAAGATTATTCATCTCTTCCAAAAGTACTTCTCTGCTGCATTTATGCTGTCTGCTAGATAAGATGGGAGATTTAAAGAGTGAACAGAAGTAGTCTCACTTTAAGACATTTATTTACTCAAAATAGAAACCCATAGAAACTGATGCATTCCCTTCACAGAGGGAGTTTACTCCCAATGGATACCTAACGTGATCCCTTAAAATCTGTTTTTCAAATCACATGATTTTCTATTTCATAAACTGTAAACTTCAGAACTCCTCAGAAAAACCTGCAAATACACACCTGTCATTAACCACCAAATCAGATGTGTTCTTTATAGCCATGTGAACCTTGCAAAATGTCATGTATTCTACTTTTTTCTTAATTTTGTGAATTTAAGAGAGTTAAGTCCACTAAAATCTGAAAAATACTTCAACTATCTAACCAAGCATTTCTCAAGTTACTAACACAAGAAAACTGTTTGTTGCTCTTACCTGGTAGTACTTTATGAGCCTAGAGAGCCTAGGGATTGTGTTTCTAAACATTCCCAACACTTTTAAAAACAGTACAGTGAGGCACATGTATGTGTAGGTAGAGTTTGCTAGAGAAGTTAAGAGAAGGCCTTTCTCCCAGGAAGAACAATCAGGAGAGTCTCATTAGGGTTTCATTTGGAAAGAAAGGGGAGTATTCATAGAAAATAGTGACTATGAAAGGTCTTGGCATGAGAGTGATGTGCAGTAATTAGGGAAGCTAAACTTAGTCTCCTCAGGCCAGCAGTTTAGATAACCACAACAGATATGTTATACCCTCATATTACATAATAGATAAAATTGCAGATTCTTTGGTCAGCCCCTGGTTCCAGTCTTTGGACTGAAAGGCCTGTAGGCAGCCATATGTCTCACCTCTGCTTGGGGAAATGGACCCAGGTGTATAGCAGATAGAACAGTCATTCCAGTTCTGAAGCACTCATTAACCAAAAATGATAGGTGGACCAAACTTTGTCTACATGCCAGGAGCAGCCAGCTGACAAGAAGGCAGTTTACTCTCTCTCCAGCAGTTACTGAAGTGAATGGCACACTCAGAACCTCCTCCTATGAGGAGTGCAGACAATGCTTGCCTGGCAGCTGCAGGGCCCAGGCATCCCCAGAAAGAAGCATTTGTGAAACCAGGCTCTGAGGAAGAGAGTAAAGCACTCTTCTATACGATGTTTCCCTCAGCCTGAATCCCTTGCAAAGCTTTTCTGTACATTACGGCTGTCCTTCAGAGTCCATTAGTGCTTTCCCACTACCTTCTGAAACCGGCTGGACTGAAAGGTTCCTCCTGAGCTGCAGAGAATTCTGGAACACCTAATAACTTTCACAACCAGTTGGACTTTGGAAATCGGCAAACACTAACTATTTAATAACAAAACAAGGTGGCATTTGCAATAACAGTGACTGACCTGCCTCAGAAGAGTTCATAAGGTTAACAAGATGCTACAACCAAAAGAAGGATGTTGTGGGACCTTTACCACATCCTGAATGGTGGTTCCTAGATAACATCAGGCTGGACCATTTTCCTCTTTGAGAAGGGTGTGAACATGCCCTGCTTGGGAATCTTCCGTATTTCATACATTCAAACTCTTCTCCTGCTGCTTAGTGTTCTAGCCCCAAAGAACTTTGCTGGGTGGGAGGGTAGCAAGGTTCTGCTGAAAACCCTTAGGAGGCCCCTACTCAACTATCCCCTTCTAATCTCAGTGAGACAGAAACATGTCCAGCCATGTGTCTGGTCCCTGGCAGCTGGGTCATTGTTATTCCACAGCTGTAGTCATTTTCATTTTTCAATTATCCCAAGAGGAATGGGACAGCAATATTTATACACTGGCCTTCAATACAGAATGGACCAAAATAAAAGAGAAAGATTCTCTTAAACAATCTTTCCAGGCCTCCCATTAAATGGTGCTATACAATCTGAAAACATTTCTCACTCCCACTTAATAAAATCCATACAAAAAAATTGAGAACTAAAATATACATTCAAGAGTCATTCCTGGGGAATGGCTCCACACCAGTACATAAAAGGCAGAGCGGGCTATGAGATTCAGATTTACGAGAGAGGCTAGCTGTAGCTGCCGACCAGTTTCTAGGGCCTGGCCTTCACATATGATTAGAAATGGGGTGTCTATCAGCACAAGGACAAATAGATCAGCCAGTGATAAAAAAAGAGCCTTATCTGAAAAAATGAAGGAAGTCCACAACAACTCGAGTCCAGGCTCTCCTCATTGCACAGAAGCAGGGGCACCCTCTCCAGCTGCTGCGTCCTCCCAGGGCAGGACAGCTCAGTGCTCACTGTCCACGGAGCAGCATCTGACACCTCGTGAACATGCACAGGTATTTCGTGTTGTCATGACTCACTTGGCTGGGAAATCACTTGTATTCACTTTTCTGCCGTAAAATTCGCAGCCTAAAATGACCTGTGTTCATTACTTCACAGGTCTGCAGGCTTGCCAGGCACTCAAGCTCTCACAAGGCAAAAACCAAGGCACCTGCAGGGCTGAGGCAGGCTCTTCTCTGGAAAGAACTCCTTTCTGAGTGTTTCTGAGTTATTAATAGTACCCAGTTTTACATGCTGTAGGTTTGTTGTTCTGAGGTCCTATGTCCTTGCCAGCTGGTAGCTGGATCACTTTCTGCTAGCAGAGTGTGCCTATAGTCAATTCACATGACCCCACCGCCTTCAAAGCATTGTCTTCTTATGATTCAGATCTCTCCAACTTTCTCTTCTGCCTCCATATAGGGAAAACAAATGAAAAACTCTGCTTTTAAACAACCCTCGAGTAATTAGATAAAGCCCACATCTTTCTCCAGCTTAAGTTCAACTGGTTAACAACTTATCTTGCACATGCATTATCCAATTTTCCATTAGCATAATCATGGAGATAAATCCAGGGTCCTCCAGAGCCTTCTCAAATTATGTTTACCACATCACTGGAACTATAATTTCCTCTTATATACCCCAAGGAGCCCATGTTTGTGTTTTCTTCTTATTTTAGTCCAAGACAAAAAATCTGCACTGCTCATTGTGGTGAGAGTATGCTCAACACAAGAAAACATTCTATCTCAAGGCTTTCAAAGCACCCCCTAAGTCAGTCATGAGGAGAGCTCTGGACTTCGGTTGAGCAGTTTATGAAGTTTGCAATAAGCCATCCCTTGAAGGGCCAGGAACCATAGCCAATAAGATGGCTTGCTTCCCAAAGCCAGTCTGTTTACATAAGGCTCTTATTAAAAGGAGCCTCCACATGTTGGGTACCTTTCTATTTTCTAGATATAAAATAAAGGATCTAGGGATAATGCACTCTCAGGCTATAGCCAATATAGCTACTCACCCTTGAATTTGTAGGCAGGGAGAGTTGGACCAATTCCCCAGTGACTGCATTACTTAATAGTAATGGAAGAATGTAAGTTTGTATAAGTTAAAATAAACAAATAATAAGTAGAGCTGTAGGAGGAAGCCTGTATGCCGCCATTAACCATGTGACTTACTAGAGGCACATACAGATGAGGTAAGAGCGGTTTACCACACCGCTAACCACACCCACTTTAGGCATGACTAAAGACGTATACGGACGGACGTAAAGACGTATACGTACGTAGGCGGTGAACTACCGTCACTAGCCAGGCCCACTTTTGGGCATGGCTAGGGGGCATTACGGGGGAAGGCATAAAAGACAGCACACAGGAAGTCTTAGTCTCTTTTCCCGGAGTTCGGCTTCCGGTTCGGCAGCGGGAAAACTACTTGGCTCATCTGGGTTACTTGTTTGGTATCTTGTGAGTAATTTCTACAATAAATAGTTAGTTTTACTTTCAGTAAGTGTGTCGCTTATCGTTACAGCATCATTTGGAGCCTCATAGAGCCCCTGATGTCATTTACAGACGCCTCATGCAATCATACAAGGTGTCGTTAGAAGCCAACCAGAGAATCTCAAACCCTTTAACCTAAATATAGCAAGACCAAAGAGTGAAAAAAGCTACAGAAGCATTCAGAGCATCCCAGGAAGAAGGCAAGGTCCACATTCCAATGAAGAGCATCATTGCCCTTACAGCATCAATTCTTAATTGTGATGTGTGTCTGCCCACAGCCCAGGATACTTGGCAATGTCAGAAGACCTTGTTAATCGTTAGGACTATGATGCACTCACAGATACATAATAGGTACAGGACAGAGATGTCACTCACAAGAATACTTGGGTTAGCTTCCCCAAGAAGCTACCAGTGCCAAAATCTCAATAAGACTTGGGCTAATAGTCTTGACTGCAGGGTACCCTGGACTTTGTGAACCTGCCATTTTCCTTCAGCAATGACCCCAAGTCACCACCCAAACATACTACTGCTCAGTAGCCATCAGTGCATTGCCTGGTCAGTGAGTACTAGAAGCTTCTGGCCTTATGACTCTGCTCCCGCACTCCAGTGAAACTGCTGGCTGCAAGTATCTAAGGAAGAAAGGGAAGGGATACAGGACATTTTATCCCAAAGCAGAAAGGATTTAAGGCCCAGAGCAGTGGCAGTCACCAATAAGGCCTGTGAGATGACTTACCTTAGCAGTTCTCCGAGAATGTCTGAGCAGTGGGAAATGACCAGCCAGCCAATTGTCTTCTCTCAGCTGAACTTGAATGATGACTGACTACTATGGCCAGTGATTTAATAAACTGTGACTCCCATAGCCTTGGGCAAACCTCTTGATTTGTTTCCATTTCCAGGTGGAGCCTAACACCAAAGTATTCCCAGCAGTCTTCCTCCAGCCTACAAGCACTTCTTTGTTTCAGTTTGAACTTGGAAAACTGAAGGTATTTATCTGTCCCTTCAACTAATACCCAAGCAGAATGAAGGCAGCAGTGGCCATCGTGGGGGAAATCGCAGTCATAAGAAAGCAGGGAAGATCTCTTGCTTCTCATTTGCCTCCCTGCCTCTCTTGGGCCTCTATAATCTGTTGGGACAACTCAGTGACAGAATAGACCTCATTTTCCTTTTCTCCCTTTCATTTTGTCTGCTAAATGGATTTATTACTTCTCACATAACCCATTGTGTACCAGCCTAATTAATGATGGAAAAGCCTTTGGGCATCTCAGGATAGATAGTTCTTCTGCACCTTATACTAGTTAGATTGATGGTCGTAAGTCAGGTGTGTGATCCAGAAACTCAGACTTTCCCTATGACATGCCTCTTTTTTTTCCTCTGATGTCTTTCTGCCTTGCCCCAGAATGCAATGCCCTTGTCAGCAGCCATATTTAAGAGTGAAGAGAAGAACCCCATCCCACAGTGTCCACCTCGGCTGGATGTCCAAACCATCCAGCCTGTGCTATGGAGTCGCATGCCCAGCAGCTTCCTCAAGGTGGAGACAGAGAGGGTGAGCGAGCGCCATGGCTGGGTGGTGCAGTGCCTAGAACCCCTGCAAATGATGGCACTCCACATCCCAGAGGAGAACAGGTACTAAAGGGACCCACAGAGGAAGGGACAGTCCTGGGAAGCCAGGAAGCTCCAAAGGGAACTAGGAACATCGTCTGTGGGCCCTAAGTTGCCCCAAGATAACTGTTCATTCCCCACAATGCATCAGTTCTGTCTTTTCCCTTCCCCAATATTCAATCAAACACAGCAGAGAATACACCATGATGCCCCAGTTATTGCACCTTCTGAAGACCAGGAATCAGGAACTATTTCCATGCTTTTAATTAAAATACAAATGATACTGAAATATACACATATTTATTTCTACAAACATAAAGGGAAAACTACCCATGTCTAGCTTGACTTAGAGAACTAAGAATTGGGGTCTTTGTATATCTTTGTTAATAGGATTGTGACTGGGTTCAAACCCAGCACTTTCGTTTTCTGCATATATGGTTTGATAAGCTGCTCACATACTCTAAGCCACAACCACTTCAGCCACACTGCAAAAGAGAAGCCCACCCACGTGGTTGCTAGGGTAAGAGTGAGATTGTATGAGTGAAATTCAGCATGGCTTCTGGTCATAGTAAGAAGTGAGTAAGTTTTATTGTTGTGGATGTTATTGTCCCTATGTTCCTTAACTGAAAAGGTATGTGCATGGGGCTGGAGAAATGGGTCACTGGTAAGGGTACTCTAGATTCAATTCCCAGCACCCTTGTAGTGGCTCACAACCATGCATAATTCCAATTCTAGGGATCCAATGATCTCTTCTGACCTATGTGGACACCACAAATACACATGAGTGTAGGCAGAACACTCATCTGCATAAAATAAATATTAAAAATATAAAACCAAAAGCATGTACAGAAAGTGAAGGTGTTTGACACCCATAGGAGTCCCCTTTGGGTATCTCCTTGGATCATGTACCACTACAGGACAGGAGAGTATGGGAAAAGTAAAGAAAGTATTGCATCCATCCTAGAACTCCGTTTCTGGGCCTCCGTGAACAAGAGAACAACTCACAGGCAAACTGGCTACAGATAGCAGGAAGACAGTACTAGCTGGATTAGGCCACTGAGTACCAGCTGGAAAAGTGTTTTCTCTCAGAACAAAAATGCAGATGGATGGGTGGAAAGTCTTGTAGGTGCTGCAGAGCTGGACTATGCAGATACTGTGAATGGTAGATTGGTGGTGGGGGGTAAAGAGGGTGTGGTAATGGGAGTGGCAGTGGGCGTGGCGATGGGTGTGAGCTGCTGTATCTTCTGAGAGGCTTGTGTAAGGAAGTAAATCCACTTCAGATAAGGAGGTCAGGTCATTGCCACATTCCCAAGCGTCTTTCTCCTTAGGACCTTCAGGGTTTCCACATTGTTTTCAATTTTTTGATATTTAATAAACCAATGTAAGCAGGCTTTTTGGAATATTGTAATGAGACAAGGTGGATCATTAGGAACTGGGGTGTGGGCCATATCTCAGAGAGGAGGAATACCCTGTTGGAGAAAGCATGGCAGAGATTTCTGCCCATCCTGCCTTTGCTGAGCTGGTTGAGGCCCCTGGGGTTTCACAGGGCAGCTACACTACTGAATTCTGACACTCATTGCTCACTGTGGACTGGTCTATTGCTTTGTCTTCCTCAGGTGTGTGGACATCCTTGAGCTCTGTGAGCAGGAGGACCTGATGCAGTTCCATTACCACACACTGAGACTTTACAGTGCCGTGTGTGCCCTGGGAAATAGCCGAGTTGCCTATGCCCTGTGCAGCCATGTGGACCTCTCACAGCTCTTCTATGCCATTGACAACAAGTACTTGCCTGGCCTCCTTCGATCTGGTTTCTATGACCTGCTCATTAGTATCCACCTGGCCAACGCTAAGGAGAGGAAGCTGATGATGAAGAATGAGTACATCATCCCCATCACCAGCACCACCAGGAATATCCGCCTATACCCAGATGAGTCCAAGAGGCATGGGCTGCCCGGGGTGGGCCTGAGGACATGCCTTAAGCCAGGCTTCAGGTTCTCTACTCCTTGCTTCGTGGTGACTCATGAGGAGCATCAGAAGCAGAGCCCTGAGATCCCATTGGAGATTCTCAAGACAAAGGCTCTGAGCATGCTGACAGAGGCTGTGCATTGCAGTGGGGCCCATATCCGAGACCCCGTGGGCGGTTCTGTGGAGTTCCAGTTTGTACCTGTGCTGAAACTCATTGGAACCCTGCTCGTCATGGGCGTTTTTGATGATGATGATGTTCGCCAGATTCTCCTCTTGATTGATCCCTCTGTGTTTGGGGAGCACAGTGGGGAGACAGAGGAGGGAGCAGAAAAAGAAGTGACCCAAGTAGAGGAAAAGGCAGTGGAGGCTGGAGAAAAGGCCAGCAAGGAGGCTCCAGTCAAAGGCTTGTTGCAGACCCGACTACCTGAGTCTGTCAAGCTGCAGGTAACTAGGGACAATACACATGCTCTGGTAAAGTGCCCTAGAGGGAGAAGAAAGCCTGGGTATGGGGAACTGTGGGCACAAGCTTGAGCCTGCTGCTGGCTGAAGTAGAGGTATGCAGAGAGTGCCTGGGGTGATGCCAACATGAAAATGCCAGCCTTTGTCAGTAAGATACTTTGAAATGTTTAGACGTCATATAGAAGTCTCTTCCCTACTGTTGAATTTTCCCATATCTCTGAGCCTTGGAAACCCAGGTGATTATTTCAGAGGTTGCTGTTTAGCAAAAGGGACAAGATTCTGATTGTAACCACAGCAATCCCTATAGGACTGACTCGCAGGACCATCACACCCATCCCCCACTCACACCGAGCTATGTTCTTGCACTAATATGATGGGGCCCTTTTGACCCAGTATTTACATAACTGTTGCCCAAACTAAGGAGCATGCTCCTGGAGACACCTAAGACCCTTCAGCTCCATCTGAAGCAATGCTTCCTCCTGCAAGCACGCATGAGTCATATGCTAGGATGATAACCTTTGTCTTCTGAGAACCAGGACAGAGAAAAGAAGATGAAGAGCAGGGGGCATGGGTCAACTATTCCTAGGATTTTATTCCTCCTCCTCTACTGCTTACTGGATATGTAACCCACCAAGTCAGCAGCCAGCCAAGACCTTAGAGTTACTATCTGTAAAATAGAAGTGACACAAAAAGATAATGCCAAATATATTTTCATAAAATATGTGAAGTATGTTCAACCATAGAATGTGCCATAGTGAAGTCAGTTAATAAGGCTATTGACTGTAGAGAATAATGTAGCTTATATATAATCACACAACATATGCACACTCACACTCACACACACACACATACACACACACACCTTGGTTTTTTATTAAAATTTTTAAGTGTGTTGTTGTGATACAAAGCCAAAATCTTTTCTTTGGTGTGAATCCCCTGACCAGAACTTGAAGGTCTTCCTTTTCACATTTGACCTCTAAATTATAGCACCTGTGATTGCTAGTTCAGGGATTTTTTAAGTGAACATCAGAAATCCAGTCATGCACTGCATAATAACACTTCAGTTGACAATGGCCCACATAGATCAGAGTGATCCCATAAGGTGACACCGTCTAATGAAGACTAACCATCAGTTGCTACAATTTCTTCCTAATGGTAAATGTAAGCAATGTCTCTATCCCTTCTCCTAAGGTCCTGATGCAAACCAAGGCATGATTCCACCGAAGTTCACATGGGAGAACCAGGGTGTTTATTGGTCTTCTTTACAGAACACGGGTGGAGGGCACATAGAGGGGTCTAGGTGCTCCTCCTCCAACAGGTTCCCCCTGGAAAGTCTCTATCCAAGAAGAATGAGGTCCTCCCTGTAGCTGTGTAGATGAAGCCCCTTTGCCTTCATCTCTTCTGGCCTATGCACTCTAGCCCTTCCCTGAGGCCATGTACAATTAAAGCAGTATATATAATATGATAGGAAATGGCTTAAGAGTAAGGTGAGGGTCCTTTGGCCCTCTTTGGCCCTCTAGGAAGTCAGCAAGGCCAGCTTGGAAAATCCTTTTGTAAGGGGACACAACTGAGCTCCCCAAGCTGGTGATACCTTGGCTCAAAGCACAGTCACTCCCAACACTTAAGTGTGTGATGTTTTCTCCATGATGAAATCCCATCACTGTGAATGCCTCAGAACACATGCATCGTTGTCACTGAGTCAGGACTATAACTAAAAAGCAAAAACACTTTCAGGATTTAATGATTTCCCCAAACTTTTTACAGTTTTCTTAAACCTAGCATTTCTTTTTAAAACAACTTAAATGTACAGAATAAGATTACTATAATAACAAAAGAACTAACCACAGTTGAGCAGTGCTGTCAGCTGCCAGCAGGGAAGATGAGATAGGCACCAAGTTTTTCAGTTTTCCCATCTTCTGCTGCTGGAAGGTGGGAAAAGCAATGCTCACATTCACATGAGTATTTTGATGCTGGTTTTCATATAGAACTCCCAAGGGAAGTAATTTCTAGAAGATGCTGTTTTCAGGAGTTCATTTCTCTCTCATTCCCTCAGTGCCTGTTAGTTCATCTCTGGGTTTAGGGAGACTTGGGTTCAGTAGCTTCATGGTTACTCTATGATACTAGATGGACACCTGCACTTCCCTAAGTCTCGATGTTATCCTCTGTAAAGTGGGACACTGGCAACTTCACCTGTGTGTGTTAAGTGCATTCTGTAAGGATGTACACACATACACTTTTTATTACAGATGTGTGAACTCCTCAGCTACCTCTGTGACTGTGAATTGCAACATCGAGTAGAGGCTATTGTGGCATTTGGTGACATTTATGTGTCTAAGCTTCAGGCAAATCAGAAGTTCCGCTACAATGAGCTCATGCAGGCTCTGAACATGTCTGCAGCCCTTACTGCCCGGAAGACAAGGGAGTTCCGTTCACCTCCCCAGGAGCAGGTGAGTCCTATCCTGAGCTGAATTCTAATTCTTATGAGAAAGGATACATGAACCCTTTGTGTTATCTTCAACAGACTGAAGAGTTATGGAAGCCTAGAAGAATCACCACAACACCAAGAGACAGGCAGAGTCCTAAGTAAATAATGACTGGGAAGTACTTGCCAATTCTCTTGGCTGGGGAAAAAAACAAAACTTTCTAAACTGAGAATAAGACAGAGATTTCTTCTTCCACCCTCCCCTCCCCAAGTATACCTCTACTAATTAGTGGAAAACCAGAAGAGTGTTGAGGTTCAACAGATATCTCAGTCACAATCTACTACTCAGAATAATGTTGCTAACCCTTCCAGAAATCCCCACATCTCCATCAGAGACAAGAAGAAATTAGTAGGTGTGCCCTGGTTTGTGAGACTCGAGGTACAGCCTTCCTTGTCTGTCATGACTGAAATTTATATTAGGCCTTCCTAGCCCCATGAAGCCTGGAGAACAGGAATCATTGAGAATCATATTTTGTGATGTTGTATATAGAACCCACTTGTGGTTGTCACTGCTGAGAGAGAAGGTAACTTTGAGATGAGTCTAAATGAGGGAATGACATCTCATGGCCTAACAGACTGGTTGGCCACTGTTCCTTTAATGTTCAAAAGGAAGGTAGATCCTTCAGTGAAGAAACCAGTCTGTCCTAGAAGCTTTGAATCTTACAAATTTTTAATAAACAGTATATTCATTGTTGTCAATATAATTACCACTATTTTACATTATGGTACAACTACAGCTTCATTCAATTACTTTCCCAATCTATTTTATAGAGCATAGTTATTTACATTGTCTTGCCAATGAACCACACATCTTAGCTTTTGAAAGACTCAAAAAGTGATAATGCATAAAGAGAAGGCAAAGCTAGTCATCTCTCTACTTGCAAAATGAAAGTCCTTAGGACTGGCTGAAGGAGATCATTGTACTGTACCAAATATATGAGTATGCTGTTTCTCCAACTGCCACCCAAGAATTACTCAAAGATATTACAAATGCTATAGGCTGCTGGTAGTGGGTATGAATGTCTCCCATGACACTGATTGAGCAAATGATGCTCTCTCCATCTTTGTGAATAATTGGAAAACAGTATTATAGAGATTATAGCACCAATATTGGTTTCATGTAACAGTGCTCCAGATCTGTTCCCCTATCACTCAAATGTGGTTTTGGGTTCTTGACCTCTTTATTTCAGTTTCTTCTGCCAAGTATGAGTAGTGTTTATATCTCTAGCCCAGGGTTGATATTAGGATGCCATGAGATAACTTATTTAGAGTGCTTAGCAAGGTATCCACTATTGAGTTAGAATTCTGTAACTGTTCCCTACACTGCCAGTAGTTTTACAATTAGAGAAAGTGTGAGCCTCACACTTTCTTCTATGGCCTTCTGTCAGTGGCCTGGTGAATGGAAGTCACACATTTTCCGACATCTCTAACCCAGTCATTACCATTTACAGTATCTATAGTCTAAGGTTTTCCTTTTCCCCATTCTAATTTTAAAGCTTTTCTTCTACCCTCTCTACAACCTCTGTTGCCTCCTCCAGACATCTAAATAGAGAAGCCATTCAGAACTCAATAAGTTGACTTCTTCGTTAAGGTGTAGACCAATGCATCTTAAATAAGATCACCAAAAGAACTTAGTAAGTCAGATCGCTTGCCCCTTTCTCTGGGATCTCTGACTCATTTGGCCTGGGGTAAGGCTCGGAGTTTTTCATTTTTAGCAAGTTTTCAGACATTGTTGATGCTAATGTTGATGCCTATAAAACAGCACTAAGAGCTAAAAATCCATCTCCACCCATACCAGAGGATTTACTTCAAACAGAGACCTACTCATAGAGTTCTCAATGAAAGGAAGCATTTCATGTCACTGAGACACAATTTAGATCAATTTCTGAGTTTAGAGATGCAGAATCACTTGGAAAACCATATACATGGAAAGTAGAGTCTTAAAGGGTGATGATTTTCACAACTTGTAAGGGAAAAAATTGACGTTTTAATTCTCAGAGTATTCAAAGTAATGGAGGAAATCATTGGGATTGTGAACAAGTATAACAGTAAGGCAAATATAAGACTGTTTTCATGTTTTGGACACATCAGCTGCTCACGGTCACCCCCCAAAGGCCTGCAGTAGAGGAGAGGACATGACTGGCAACAAACCCTGCTTGGTCTGTCTTTCCACTCACTTTTTGTTTGTGTGCTCTTTCAGCAGGTGGGACCGTTCCTAAGTTTTGTTGACAGCAAGAGTCTTTCAATAAAGAACTTCATTTTGTACCCTGAAATCATATCTTACAACCTTATATTTATTGAATAAACAGAGTATCCTATCTTGTTAGTGTAATTAGCATGATTTTCCTTTTCCAACCTATTTTGTGGATAATATTTAATTACAAATAATACCTCTACCTATTTCCAAAAGGTTTGAAAGAGAAGTTCTGAATGAGAGACTTCTGAATCATACTAAAATTTAGGAAGACATTAGAAATTTTTCTAACCATGAAGGCCTTAACACAAAGAAAAGCTCTAGGCCTAGTGATTGGCAGAACGTGACTGAACCACCAAGGGGGAAAGGTGACCTCTAGCTCTTTCTGCCATCCCTCCACTGTTCACTCACCTGTTCTTGTGGGCCAGTATTCCAAAGTCCAGAAGCCTAGCTGGGATTAATGTGTACAGCGGAGCAACTACCCCACTTTATCACTAGTGGGGATGGCACTTTTTCATGACACTTTGTAGTGGTTACATTTAGGAATACCTTTTTTTACTTAAATTAGAAACAAGCTTGTTTTACATGTCAATCCCAGTTCCCTCTTCCCTCCTCCCCTGCCCCCCACTGACCCCCTATCCTATCCCCTTTCTGTTCCCCAGGGAGGGTAAAGCCTTCCATGGAGGATCTTCAAAGACTGTCATATAATTTGGTGCAGGGCCTAGACCCTCCCCCATGTGTCTAGGCTGAGAGAGTATCCCTCTATGTGGAGTGGACTTCCAAAGTCCATTTAGGAATGTCTTCACATTCAAAACTGTTTCAGGATTGCAGGGGCTCTGAGAGCAGCCACCAGGTCTCTTCATGTCAGCCAATGATGAAGTGCATTTATTACTATAAAATAGATTTTTTGACTTTAATAAATGAACTTCACTATTATCATTTCTCTTTGTAAGTTTGTATGTCTTATTTGTTTAAAGTATTTATCCATAAATTAGTTGAATCTCTCTAAACTGCAAGAAAGCTGCGTGGTCAACAGAAAAACATCAAAAACAGATAATAAAAGCAAAAAAAAAAAGGCAGAGTGAGTACAGAACATAAATCTGCATCTCAAAACCAAAACCTAAATGAGGACCCTATACATAAAATTAAAAGCTAACTGTAACTCCAGAAATCTATCGGGTATATATTATAAACAACTAAAGCTCCAGAAATTTGTTGAGTATATATTAGAAAATGTTTAAGTTGAAAAATAAGCAAAGTACTCCACCAACTAATTTGCAAGTGGATAATTATCTGGTAGAAAAATCGAAGAGAACATGAGAAGAAATCTTTACAAAATATAAAATAAAATTGGTCTTAATGCATGGAACATAAATTTAAACCTCACCAATTAAATGTGAGTCAAAGCAACAGAGATGTGATATTCTTCACCCATTAAACTGGAAAATATTTGAAAATGTGCTAAGCTCTCATTACTGTAATAGAGATGCCAAAGTAACACACACTTACATAAATTTGGGATAATGCAAACTGTTGTGAGATTTCTGGGAAGCAATTTACAAGTCATATCACAAGCCATTAAAATGTGCAGACCTGTTGCTCCACTCATTTTGCGTCTAGTTGTTCCTAAGAAAATAATCTAAAATGTGAACAAAATGAATATAAAATATTCAAAGCAACTTGGTTTATAAGAAAAGCAAAAGCAAATCAGGATATGGTCTTGTGTGTAAAAAGCACTTGCCATACAAGTGTAAAGATGTAATTTTGAACCCCTAGAACCCTCACAAAAGTTAATGAATAATATGAGCATCTGTTATCCCGATGCTCGTGTGGAGAGAAAGGAAATGGAGACAGGAGAATTCCTGGACATTCACAGGTCAGCTAGCCTGATATATGAAGTGAAAACCAACACAAGAAGACCCTATCTCAGATAAGATGGAAGGCAAAGACCAACCCCTAAGGTTGTCTTCTCACCTCCACTGCATGCCATGGCTCATATGTGCCCACATTCACATACACACATGCACACAAACACACACACATGCACACACACCATACCACACCTTGTACCTACTCACAAAAATAATAAAAACAGAAGAAAATCATAGAAGAAACATAATTTTACATGAATTTGTATCCATCCATAGAGTGAAATAATTTTAGCATTTTAAACTCATTAGGAAAAGTCAGTCAAAAATTGGCTTTTAAGAAAGTTCATATAGAGAGTGATTTGAATTTGTGAGGATATGAATAAAGTTTGAAATAAATTTCCTAATATTATTAACAGGAAATACCTTTGGGTCGTAGGAGTTTTCTACTCTAAATATTCTCCAAATTCTGTACAATTAATAGACAGCCCTTAGTATAAGAGAAAGCTACGTTTGTATATTGGCCCCTCTTACTTCCCCCACCCTCCAAAAACTTTTAAATAAAAAATTCAAAGACTGTTTGGTGTCTAAGGCATAATTGGAGCTCCCATAACCGATATGGAGACCGGTTAGACATTCCTCTTTTGCCCTCACAGATCAACATGCTCCTCAACTTTCACCTGGGAGAGAATTGCCCCTGCCCAGAGGAGATTCGCGAGGAGCTGTATGACTTCCATGAGGACCTTCTGGTTCACTGTGGTGAGCTCCTGAGAGATGAACCAGTGCCTCATCCTCCTTTGTGAGAATGCCAGTGAGGGGTTGAGAAGTTACTTATGTCTGACCCTATGTTCAAACTACACACATCAGAGAAGATACAGGAAATGTCTCGGACAGACTGGGAAACTGAAAACCCTTTTGCCTAGAAGAGTCTTTGTGAGGCTACAAAGAGGGAGTGGGAAAGTCTCTGGAGGAAAGGGGGAGGAGTGAGGGGGTAACTGATTCTGCACCTTACCCAGTTCACTTACAATGACACTGACGTCATGTTCTTCCAACCAAGTCAAGATTTTGATCCCTTTTCTTTGTACTATTGTAATTGTTTTTAAGTGAGTATCAATGTCTTCTGATTCTGAGCCATGACTCCCATGATTCATATCTGCTGATTTTTAAGTGGGTGGTGGCATTTATGATTCTTATATATGGATAAACTAGTAATATGTAGAAAACATCTGAGCTTCTCATTTGAAACAATAAATGTTGAAGTATTTCTAGCGACTCTAGAGTCCTTTTCAACATGAGTTAGAAAAAGTAAAGCCGTGGGATTAAATTTATTTGGTGTTCTAGGACACAGGAAATCATATATTTTACTAACTACTTGAAAGGCATAATGCAGATGAATATTCTCGGAAGGCTGCCTGTAATCTCTTGAAAATGTTTCAGAAGGATGGGAAACTGCTTTATTATATTCTAACAATGTACTGTTTGGGTTTGCACTCTGTTCTGTGGCTTGCTAGGGGTTCCCTTGGAGGAAGAAGAGGAGGAGGAGGAGGACACTTCCTGGACAGGAAAACTGCGTGCTTTGGTGTATAAAATCAAGGGCCCACCTAAGCCAGAAAAGGAGCAACCAACAGAAGAAGAGGAACGGTATCCTAGTAAGTGCCTTTCAATCACACTGCTCACAACTCTGTGCTCTTTGGAGATTTAATCAAGACAACTGGTTCCCTCACAGTACTCTAACATGTAAAGACCTAACACTAGGCATCATGCTGTCATTGTTGGTAGTCAGTGTTAATGATTTGTTTTTTCTCTGCCTTTCCTGTGATCCAAGGGTTCACTTGTGGACTTTTCTGACACCTGAGGGATCAGCTGTTTGGTGTCTGCTCTTATCGTCCATCTACTTAGAAATTCCCCAACAGATTCTGATCTTTCTTTAAACCTTTAAGTATTGCTTATTTCAGTCACTTCTGTTTGTTGTTACTTAGGCAATGAAACTACTCCAACCAAATAAATTAAATAATAGTGAAACAACACATGTAAAAGAAATTAAAGGTTTCTTTTTTCTCTAGTATGTGGTTGAGATTGCGACAGTGCAATCTTTGACCTGTTCTGTTATTTATTTATTTATTTTCATTTAAATAAGAAACAAGCTTGCTTCACATGTCAATCCCATCTCCCTCTCCCTCCTCTCCTCCACTGCCCCACCAACTTCACCAACTCCCCAGTCAATTCCCCACTCCACTTTCCAGGGAGGGTGAGGCCCTTCATGAGGGATCTCCAAAGTCTATCATATCATCCAGGGCAGGGCCTAGGCCCTTACCCATGTGTCCAGGCTGAGAGAGCATCCCTTCATGTGGAATGGGCTCCCAAAGTCAATTCTTATGCCAGGGATAAATACTGATCTAGTACCTGAGGCCCCAAAGGTTGCCGAGGCCTCCTTACTGACACCAACGTTCAGGGAGTCTGGATCAGTTCCCTGCTGGCCTCTCAGCCATCAGTCTGGGATCCATGAGCTCCCCCTTGTTTAGGTCAGCTGTTTCTGTGGGTTTCTCCCACCCAATTATGACCTCTTTGCTCATCATTCCTCCCTCTCTGCAACTGGTTTCCAGGAATTCAGTTCAGTGTTTAGCTGTGGGTGTCTGCCTCTGCCACTGGCTGAAGGCTCTAGGGTGGCATACAAGGTAGTCATCAATCTCATTATCAGGGAAGGGCATTTAAGGTAGCCTCTGCACTATTGCTTAGTTTTCCAGTTGGTGTCATCCTTGTAGATCTCTGGAAATCTCACTAGTGCTAGACCTCCCCTCAAACCTATAATGACTCCCTCTGTTATGGTATCTCTCATCCTGCTCTCCTCTATTCTTCCCCTGACTCAACCTAGCTCAGGGGTTAGAGCACTGGTCTTGTTTGACCTGTTTTTTAGGATGGCAAATATTGTCCTAAGTCACCCCTCTCTTCTTTGAGCAGTTAGGTAACCTCAACCGTTTGACTCTTGTTGAAGGAAGAGCACTACCTAACTTGACTGTCTAAATGAGTTAGCATTTTCAAGAGGTAGATGGTAATCATTATATTACATATAGTATTATATGTAATCATCTCTTCCTTGCTATAGATTTGGCAAATTTATCATTTGTCTAAAGAAGAAAAAATGTCCCAGGTTCAATGTCATTGCTTTTTAATCTTATTTCCTGTTCCTATCTCTCTTGGAACACACTTTCAGATCACCTATTAAAGAAATAGACTGTCAAGATCTGGGAATACCACTTTCAGGGTTCACACATCTTATCGCCCTTTATATTAACCTTTCATCTTTGTCAGAATATCTCTTAGTATAATACATAATTCCCATTTATCAGTGGGAGTTTGAAGTCTCTGAGAGAATATATGGTAACATGACGCTGGCAATCCTGGTCAGTCCTAACCTATCACCATGGAAAGGTTTTGTCTTTAAGGGTGAGCTACCTGGATTATCGAGCCCCCCAAAAAGTGAATAGAGACTCTCTTAGCAGTTATCACCAAGTAAGTACTACAAATAGCTTGTACTGACCCATATACCTCCTATAGCACCTTCTGAGAACTGTTTCTGTAAGTGCATGCTTTTATGACAGTATGTTATGAGTAGGGTTCCCATAAAGTGACCATGTCATATTAAGTGAATCAAGTCAGTCAAATGAAATCATTCATCATCTGCCTCTGTGAAGTCTCACTCTGAAGAAGGGTGCATGGATTACTTCCTACACAAATGCTCCTCAACCCTAAAGGAGTCAGATCATGTTCCATCTGCTTGGATAGAACAGATACACCTGCCAGTCCTATCATCATATGAGACTATTTGTCTTTACCATACTGTCTCCCTCTCATATGTGGATTTATAAAACATCTACGTTTTGTGTCTTGAGCCTTCTAATGTCCCAAAAATAAAGGAAATGGTCAATCAGCTTAAGCAACACTGGTTGCTATTATGTGGGTTCCCTGTAGAATGTTCCAGGAGCATGGCTGGAATGATATTTTAAGATAAATTCTAGGAAGTTGTTTAATACCTCTTCTGAAAACTGTTTTTAATTGGAGCATATGGAGACAATATTTCTAAATGTACAGCCAATTGTAAAAATTGTTAAAATACTATAAATTACTGATAGCTTGTCCATGTCACTACTTAGATGATTTATCTTGTCAAATAATGAAAATTTAAGGGGTTATAGTAAATTGACAATTTACCAAATACATCCATAAATACTAGTTACCAATGTTCCTGACAGATGTTAGGGTTCTTCTTCTTCTTCTTCTTCTTCTTCTTCTTCTTCTTCTTCTTCTTCTTCTTCTTCTTCTTCTTCTTCTTCTTCATCTTCTTCTTCTTCTTCTTCTTCTTCTTCTTTCATTATTCAGTTGAGGGAAATAGGACTCAAAAGAACCCAGAGATACTAGTTCAGTGATTCTTCTTTCCATCTTGGATCCAGAAAAGTGTTCCTGGCTACTTATTAACACAAATCTGAGATAACTAAATCAAGTGAAGCTGTGGCTTCACTTCAGGTGTCTACTCTTCCCATAGTACCATGCCATCTCCTGCATCTGAGATTAACAACTGTGAGTGGTCATTTATGAAGAAAGTCAGAACTCAATGCCACTCAGAATTTTAACCCTGAAAAGTCAATGAAGCCAAAGATTTGAGCTGGAAATCTTCAGGTAAAGTATGACCCCTTCCTGAGATGGGCTCGGGAAAGAGAGAACAAAACTGTTCTGAAACTCATTTGAATGCTGCCAAGTAGCTCTGTATTAAAGAGATTTGCTTAAGTTAACTGCAAGGCATGGCATCGGTGAAGATTATTAACAGTCTTATCAAAGAGCTATGTGATAATGTGATATGTGATATAGCAGAAGCCCATCATACTAGGTCACATTCTATGTCTCTGTCTAGCACATCCATAAGAGAGCCCTTGCACCATAAGACTGGACTGCAAACTGCAGTTAAAACGGGATTTCCTTAAATATAAATGTGTAGCAACTGAGTTATTTGTCTAGAAGAGATCAAGCAGCTGTTTTGTTGAATACTAAAGTTAAGAAAATGAAAATCAGCTATCATATTGTACAGATGAAATGAGATGCACTTATGCCTTCTCCATGGGAGATGGTGATCCTCATCTTCTCTGTATGAAGAAATGTCCCAAGGATATTATGCTCTCAAGCAATGCAAGCAAAGGAGACAGAGCCCCTGCTGTCATCTGAGACCTTATGCTGACCCATTGTAATTCAGCTGTGGGGAACAGTGTTAAGAACTGGATGTAGGAGTGAGTTTGTCAAGGAGGTGATCTGTACTCTGTCCTCAGCCTGTGTTGTTTTGAAAACTGCCTCTCACAGAGCTGGGCTGACATTCCTATCCCTGGGACATACTTACTATCCTTGGCTACTCTTCTGATAAAGACCAGACCAGAGGTGTCCCTAGAGATGACTACAAATCCACCAAGTCCTAAAGCTGCTACTTGGGGAAGCTTGTACCTTGCCACTGGATGCTATGACAGCTCTAAGCCAAAATTCTCTCCAGGTGAATGCTATGGCTTGCTTATGAATCCTACTGGGCAGAGAATGTGTTCTTTGCAACCAGAATAAGTCCTGGGCTCTGGATCGCCACATCTGTGTTGGTGGGTTTGTGGTTTTACTATTTAGAAATTATAGAAAATAAGTATAATGTTGTCTCAGGTGACAAATTAGACTCATTTTCTAAAATTTCTAAATTCTCTCCAAATAACAGAGACACACATGCACAAACACACACACACACACACACACACACACACATGCATGCATGCACTCATGCACATGCACACACACCAAGTAGAGAGTCAGTCCTCCTCTGTGAAGTCTTTCTTCTGTTTGTCCCCCACCCTCCTGCCCCAGCATATCATGCAAACTCCAATAGGACATATATGACTTCCCTCTTTATGTGGGGTTTTTATTCACTTTTCCTCACTGGGTCTTAATATGGGAAGTTTTTTCTATATTCATTCTATTAACCTAATGTTTGTTTTTATTTTACCTATAACTACGTATTAGTCAGTTAAGGGTCACAAGCCTGGAAAAGTGAGGCCTGGGATGTAAAGGTGGAATTGGGTCTGGTAAGATAACTCTTTCAGTAATGAGGTTGGATTGTGGTATTAAAATACAAAGTGGGGCTGGAGTGATTTCTCGGTGGCTAAGAACACTAGCTGGTCTTCCGGAGGTTCTGAGTTCAATTCCCAGCAATCACATGGTGGCTAACAAACACCTGTAATGAGATCTGGTGCCCTCTTCTTGCCTTCAGGGATGCAGGCAGATAGAACACTGTATAAATAATAAATAAATAAATCTTTAAAAAAGTAAAATAAGATAAAATACAAAGTACATTCCATGGCCAGAGGAAGATTTGGAAGTATTGTAAGAGTGTGAATGGGCAGATAAAATAGGAAAGAAAAGCATTTTTTGAAAATACTGCTCAAAATACTAAAATTAGGAAAGTTTAGGCTGAAATCAGGCATGGCAACAGGCTAGAGTGGGCTAGAGTCTACAGGGAGCTGAGTGGGATGCGGTGGGGATTTGAAGTGATTCTACACTGTGCCCCATAGAACTGCTAATAAAACAGCTCATCAGTACAGTGTTCTCATTTGCTGTATAAAGCTTGGCCCTG